CCTTATAAAAAAAACATACTATTTTTCCGTGAAAATAAATATGCGACACTTACGATGTAAAATAGTTTTGATCGTATATATATATATATTTTTTTTTTTTTAATGAGGAAAATGTACTCTACTACTTTTCATAATGAACGTTGACCGTTGAAATTATAAATTTTGTGGCAAATGAAATACCGAAAAGCAAATTTGATTTAAAATCAACTACTACATAAGATAGATTAGATATGTTAGATTAATCATATAATACCAATACTTATATGTATAGAGGATTCTAAGTTTAACTGTAATGTTTAATACTATAGTAACAAATATAATAACAAAATCAAAAACCTATAATCTTTATACAAGCCGACGTGCATTAGGAACCAAGACATAGTCGAAACCAAACTAAAACCTCCACGTAACCGAAGTTATAAAGGTTTTGCTTTGATAAATTAAATATAGTTGTGAGCGTTGGTCAGGGCTTGTGTGGTAGATTTAGGTGTAGATAAAAAAACAGAAACTTAATTAAACGAGTACATCTAAAGTAGGTAGTTATGTATTCTTGTAAAATAATCATAATTCATAAGTAATACATTAGTATTTAAAAATAATATTAAATGTATTGATTAGATTGTAAATTATAAAAAACTTATTATAAAATATTCAGTGCTGGTATTACTCGCTTGGAAAAAAGTAATACTAATCAAGCATCCATTTTTTAATTTATAAAAAAAAAATTAATTAATTTAATTTAAAGGGTTTGGGTCTACCATGTCTCCGAATAAATACGTGTCACGTTATAAGTGTTATGTGCAAATATTGTTTGTAAACTATACTTTCATACTAAACAAAAAGGTATGTAAATTGTATGGGTTTTTGATATCTTTGATTAATCACCTTTATTGATTATATCTGAATGTAATCCAAAATTATCGACTAACAAGTGACACGAGCTAAGTCATAAAACATGGTTCTGATCAATCAGACATTTCATTTGAGAAAAATTGACACAGTCGGTGAGACGAAAATTCGTATTAAATGGGGTCTAACAATTCAACACCACCCGCGTTTAATTAATGAGCTGTGTCACCACGGCGTGCCATTCGAAACGCTCTGTACAAATATAAACATTAACTGTGTTTTGTGTGAAGTATTGCTCATAAAAATTAAATGTACAAAAAGCAGTAGAACCAGCATAATGACACGTTGCGAGGAAACTCTCGTTATAATCCGTTTTAAAAATATGCGTTGACAAATTTGTTTATTAAAAATTATACTTATTGCCAACACCATATGGCATAGGTATACTTATGATTATAATTATAATTCATTGAAAAAAAGTCAAAATATATAATAAAAAACGAACGAAAGCTGTTTAACCGAACCGTCGATTAAATCAAATTATTGTTCCAACTCATCTATTACTCCTCTTCATCTACCGAGGTCAAATATTTAAAGGTTACGGATTTGTTTACAAACACATACAAGTATTACACAAATTTGTTTAAAATGAAGAATAGAATATACATAATATAGTGCGTTTTACAACTATGTAGTATTGTTCTATTATATAACTGGAAAACTTTTTTTTTACCCAAAACAACATTATGTTATTATGCCCAAACAGGTGCTACTCGTGTATTTCCTGAACAGCCAGCGGCTGACATCACAGATAAACCAAAATAAACGTTTCACCTCACTTCGGTCGTGTGATGTGATCGTTGGCCGAAGTCCACAAAGTCTCATACCTCGCCTACGCTATACAAAACTGTATTATTCTTATTCTTCTTATAATTAGCATTATTAATATTGTTGTTATAATAATTATTATTATAATTAGTATAGACATTTTTCCTACAAATCATTAAATGTATTTACTATTGTACTCGAATACTAGTTCGAATAGTATCGAATAATGGTTTAATAGGCTTTATCTCGGTTTTTTACAAAAGTGCGCGTTTTTTTTTAAATTTGTTTTAATTAAAATATAATTACTAAAACTTTAATTAGTTACTATTTTTCAAGAGTTTTGATTATTTTATCTTCTTTTTGTATTTGAAATAATAGTTATTTTCAGATTTCTAGAGATCAATTAACTTAATTAACTAGAGTTAAAAAAACACTAAGACAAAAGCTGTTTTTTATTATTAAATAAGACATTTGCTCGTTTAATAATCTAAAAAAAACGTTTTAAGACACTGAATAAAAAAATGGATAAGAATTTAATGTGATTTAAAATCGTGACTGTCGTCTGAGTAAATGCTAAACGTAATTACTTAGAAAAATTACCCCGTTTGAAATGTTGGAATAAAGAGAAAATTAATTAGCAAATACATATTTGTTTTTTAAATATGTCAAGTTGTCATGTTTAAAATGTTGACAGCATCATTTTATTGAAATGTATTCAATTTATGTTTAAAAATAATTTTGTTATGAAAGAATACGAAATATTTAAATACTACAATCGCTTTGAACGATTATTTTATTGTATTGTCATTTTTTCTGTGAAAACTTATTGGTATAAGTTGTCAAATTAATATATTTTAGTTTCGTTGAGAAGGTATTGTATTTTAAGGTCACCCCTCCCCCTTCTAAATTGAGGAAATAAACCCAAAAAATAAACATAATTTCAACTTAAAATTATTGTAACTGAAAGTAATAAAATCGCTTTTAAATAAATGCTTCGACACGAATCTGTACAAAGTAGAAGTATTAAATATCGATAAAAATACTGTAAAAGTGCGGTTAAAACTCTACGTTCAACGTCTTTCAATAATATTTTTTAGCTGTTGTTATTCATATATCGTTATCAACAATATAATGTTTTTTTAGATCTGTTGACTATTGATTGAATCAAAAATATTGTATTATTTATTTTCAAAAAATGTAAAAAGGGTATTTGCAAACAATAAGTGTGTAGTTGTAATAAGTAGTGTTATTTATTATGTATAATGGCTTCATAATACTTGAGCTGAAGCAATAAAATTGACGAAACGAACTAACACAAAACCTTACACTCACAAGTCAAAACTATACCAGTAAAAAATTATTATAAATGTACGTTGTATAATCAGTTTTACTGAGCTTCATTAAACCGTTTCATACTAGTATTAAATTATTCTAATGTACATAATACATTTCATTGAAAACTGTAGCGAAGAAGAATCGCTTTTCATATTAATATCATCTTAAACAACATCTACGCTCTGTTTTATAACCGTTAATAAGCAATATTAACTTTTAAATCTTCTTTTCTATTCAAACTGCCCAAATTAATTTTAAAATGTAAAAATAGCTGCTCTCGCATTTTCAAAAAAAAAAAACTCATAGACTTATTAACATTCATATTTCTTAAAATGTTTATAGTAAAAACATTAAATTCGTTTGACTATTGATTTATACTTATATATATAATAAAATTAAATATAGTATTAACTTTTTTTATAATTATATTTTTATGTTTTATGTATATATACATTAGGGTGGTCCATAAAAAGTAGATTTTCGAGTTTTAACCTCGACGGTCCCTAAAAAGTTTGTAAATACAATAAAAATAAGATCAAAAAAAAATTTTTTTAAATATTAATTTTAATTTGTGCCTCACAAAGGTTGAAGTTTAAATGGGCTTTCAACACTTCTGCACAAATCAACGCATAACTTTTTCCCTACTCCTTAGCTATAAACCATCAAAATGGTTTATAGCTAGGAATCTGCTGAAAAGTTCCTACCTGTCAAAATTGCAACAAAAAATGAAAGTTTAACAAAAAATAAGCATTTTTTGGTACTTTGTTTTACATTTTAAAATAAAGAACATAATTTCGACTTAAAAATCTAGAGGACAGTCCGATTGCCGGATGATGCTCAGAAAATATGATGAGGACGGCAGATGACATTATGTGATGATAACAGTACTGTCAAAAATTTTCGTTTTGCTAGGATTGTGATTTAAACTTATTATATCACTGTTAACTTAATCCTGAACATCGTGTTAGGACTTAGTTGAGTCTATTAACTTTTGAACTATGTTACCAAAAATGATGATATACTGAACTCAAGTAATAGGTTTCTGGCCCAAGCGACATCCCCCAGGTACATTAAATATAATGTCAATGAAAATTAACCAAAAAAGTACCAAAAAACGCTTATTTTTGTTAAATTTTCATTTTCTGGCAGCAATTTTGACAGGTAGGAACTTATGGGGATGGTGTTCGTGTTCAGCAGACTCCAAGATATAAAACGATTAAAACTTCAGATCAAACTAAGGAGTAGGAAAAAAGTTATGCATTGATTTGTGTAGTGTGCACAAGTGTCGAAATCCTATGTTAAGCCCATTTAAACTTCAAGCCTTGTAGGGCACGGCCCACGGGTTAAAATTAGTATTTTTAAAAAAAAAGTCCAAAATCATTGTTTTCTCCCAGATTAATATTTTACTATTATATAAAGAGTAATAGTAGTTAGTACTACGTTTTTGTTATCACCTCATAATGTCAAAGAGGTTATAATAATGATTAACATAAACTACATACATTTTAACCAAGTTGATTTTAGTTTTTACAATATCCTCAACGCTTAAATATCACTTAAAACTGTGGTTTTAGATTTGCATGAACGGGGTCAAAACGATAGTTGGTATTCATCAAGCTACGAAAGAATTAATAACTGATCTACGAAATAACAATTATTGCAATTATTATCTGGTTCTCTGATGTATATTTTAAGATATATATGAATCTATAAAAATATAAGACGAACTTTTTTATTATTTTAATATTTTTGTAGATTAAATTGAATACATTTAACTTTTAAATATATTTTACTAAGAGAAACCCATAACGTTGCGTAACATAATTTGTTACGCATAGTCAAGAAACTTTTAATCTACCGGTTTGGAAGATTTATATACGAAATGATTAAGACTTTATCTACGATTTAACAAACAAAGTGCACGTCGTATTAGTACTAAAAAAAAAGTTGTTGTCCATTATAAGCACGTAATGGGTATGCGAGCTTACCTCTTTTAATTAACGTCCATTCAACGCATTCCGAGACTCGTACGGCAAGGGTAAACCACTGACAGCATGGTGTTGAATAAACTGAAATGGTTTTTAAACAAATTCCGGATTTCTCGCATGTTTCTTCTTAATATACTCAGGAGACATAAAAAACATATTCACTTACGGGCGAACAGCTAAATTTTAGTACAGGTCGTTACAAATCTTTTGTTTTTGAAATTAATACGAAAAAAAATTCTCAAGCCAATTTATTACACAATAATACACGCTAAGTTAATTCATAGGTATTTCGTATATGTAATAGTATTATATTACACGAATAGGATTGTACGTTATGGTCTCACGTGGTGGCGGAACGGCACGTCGCGGAGTACTGTGCTTTGGCAACTTTCGGGAAAAACGGTTACTGGAACGCCCATTTCAGATTTTGCGCTCAACGTAGCACCTAAACACAGTTCTAATACCATGATGACTAATATACATGTCGATGATAATAATAATAATAATTACTTTATTATCATTCATCACTATCAAAGTATCATCACTATACCGCCGATAACACGTTTAGCGAGAATTCATTATTTATAAACGTGTAGCCGATCGAAACCCTTTGCAAATGTTTATGTTTTAAAATTTAGACATTTTCCCAACAGTATAAAATTTGTAAACAAAATATAATAACATTTTATCTTTACTAAGGTTTATATTTTTATTTTTTTAATAAGTATAGTAAGTAAAAAGAAATAATCCAACACGGATTATTATATACCCGGATAAATATGTGTAAATTATGGTAATCCAAAATTGGGCGAGCATTGCTCAATGTCTATTTTCTTTTTAGTTATTGCTAACAACCCTTGTAATAGTAAACGATATTTATAATATACTGTTAATAAAATATTATATATTCATAGGTGTAATTGAACTTCTGACATTTTTTTATCTTTATTTTCTAAAAAAAGATACTATGAATAATGAAACATGTATTCCAGTTATAGATAGATTACTCATTAGTAAATGAGTTGCTCATTTGAATAAAAGAAAAGTCCCATTTACAGTTATGCGAAAAATTTGGATTTTTTTCTGACCTAGAAAATATTAAATCAATTGACCTACGAACAAATGTAATCTAGTGAATATTTATAAAAGAGGATTTAGAAGTTAAATTAAACCTGAGTTAAACTATTTACAATCACAATTAGCCAACGAAAAACTGTAATTTCTATCAATCGTATGTATTGAAGATGAAGTACCTAGTTAGGGATATAAATTTAACAAACCTAGTCACAAAGTTTTAAAAACTTTAAGTAAGAAAAAGACGTTTATGTGAAGTTATAAATCATTATTATTATTATTTAATTATTTCAAAGGTAACAGAAGTTTTTAAATTTAATTATTATTTATTAATAATGTAAGTAAGCAGACAGCCAGCGGCTAATCTGGGGGTTGAAGGGTCATAAACAACCCTTTTTCCGTGTATAAATTACTAATTAGGTAAGCATAACGCAATCTTACTTATTATTAATACCATTGCTCAAAATTGTGTAGTTTTTTTACAAAGTAATAATAAAAAATGTATTCATTATTAGTAAATACCAGGGGCGGCTCCAGGGGGAGCCTAGGGTTTGCGCTTCCCCCCTAGGCCCGCATTTAAAAAAAAAATGATATTGTTAAAAACAAAATTACATATCATACTATACCTACCGTATATTATAGACACGTACAAGTGTGTAGTTAGAGGTATGTACCTATTATCTTTACTATGAAGTATAAATAAACTACTCGTATATAATAATATAAAATATATTACTATGGTATATTGTGTTTAAAACATTAATTGTGTAGCACATATTTCTATGACTAGCCCCCCCCCCCCCCCAACCAATCAAGTCTCTGGAGCCACACCTGGTAAATACCATAACTACGAATTAGAATTAATAAGTAACTGAATTTAAATAAATAAAAAATAATAGGGGCCCCGAATTAGCTTATAAATGATCCATTTTGTTTGAAAAGGTAGTGGTATAATAATAAAATCAATTTTCACATTCCTTGATTATTTAAGGAAACCCTTGGGAAAACCAAATAACGTACGTTATAGCAAGTCAATGTTGAACGTTAAACCCCGGTTAAATTTTTTCGGGGTTTTGGAGGCGAAAAGTGGACTTTTGCAACTTTAGACACGCCAAAGTACCAATCGCATACGATTACCGGCTACGGCTCGATCCTCGAGAGAGATTAGAATTATAAATTTTACTGTATGATCTCATTTTTTCAAATTTTCGGAAATCATGTTAACAACGCGATCTAGCGGTTAAACGTCTTTAATATTTGTTATCATGTTATTATGTTTTATACTGTCGTTTTATTTTTGACACTTGTCCTTTTTACTTCTGTGACATTATATTAATTTATGAAATGTGTGTTCACGTAAAAGTAAATATTTCATACTTTTTAATTTTTAGTGTGGATTTTATTTTATAGATTTCAATTTGTTTTGGTACCTATATAGTTCCACGGTTATTTTTACGTGTTAACAACTGTGGTTGGTAGTACTTTTCTTATCAAACTTGTTTGTTTACCTTTTAGATAATTTTTTTCTATCGGCTTTCTAACAGTGATCAGTGATCATATTAAGATTGAACCGACCGGCTTTAGTTTAATAAAAAAATTTAGACCAAATTTAAAATCACTGGTGTTTTTGAATTTATATTTCAATTTTAAATATACACTATTTATACACAAAAAAATGGGTCGGCGAAAAAGTAAAAGGAAGCCGCCGGCAAAAAGGAAAGCGATCGAACCTTTGGACACACAATTTAATTGTCCTTTTTGTAATCATGAAAAATCTTGCGAAGTTAAAATGTAAGTTAAATTACAAATAATAATTTCAACAGAATTTTAGAAATTTTTAATTCTAGTTTTATCATTATATAGTTTAAAAATTTGGTTCATTCTTATAGGGATAAAAGTAGAAATGTAGGAAAAGTATATTGCCGTGTTTGCCTAGAGTCATACCAAACAACTACAAGTTTTTTGTCTGAACCAGTAGATGTTTACAACGATTGGGTAGATGCTTGTGAAGCAGCTAATTAATAAAGGGTGGCTACAAAAAACATCTTAAGTAAGTATACTAATTACCATGTGTTGTCTGTAGTTCTAATAGTTTTACATGAATATTTCAGTTCTATCAAATCATATGATAAACTCTATAGTATGTTTATTATATTTACTACAGAACGTCATATTGTGAACTAATTAAAAATAATATATTATAATATAAAATGTATTTTTGTCTTCGTCTAGTCCTATAAATTTCATAAAAACTCTATGCTATTGCTTTTAGGGCTAGGACACATCATATTGATGGTTACACGGCAAAAGGGTCTAAGCGATATGGCATATACATGTGGCTAGAAAAAAATATGTTTCATCCATTGCGCATGTGCAAAAACAGATGTGGCGATTATTTAATGAACAATTTATATTTTAAGTTTGCAGTATAAACAACATAGAACAACATTTTAAAATCATAGAAAAAAATTGTTTTTTTCTCTTAAAAATCGAAAAGTTTTGCTTATTGTTAGATCTTTGTGCCAAGTAACTATCAATATAGCATTACTATCCTAGGAAGTAATGTCTATGCTATTTGTAGGGTGGTGGTAATACCAAAAGTAATAATATACCTAATAATCTAAGACCATGTTTAATACAAATCAATTTTTACTGATCAATATATAATTTTGACAATAGTAATATTGATCAGTATTATTATGTATGTACTACTTAAAATGTTTTTCAATAATATTCATCCAAACAAATTATTGTGTATGAATCGAAATCTCGAAAAAGTACAAAGCAGCGAGCCATAATAGTTAGGTTAGGTTTGGACCAAACAGCTAAAAAAATATTTTAAACATTGTACTGTATAAATTTCATTTTTCAGTAAAAACAAATTGATTTTTGTTTAAAACAATTGACAACATTTTCAATAGTTGTCAGTTTCACTATGTTGATGGAACATGGAGAACTTGTAGTCACCCTATAATTAATCAAATTGTGGACAATATAAATTTTGTTCAATGAAAAGAAAGAAGAGTAAGAAAAATGTAAATTGTTTAAGAGAAAAAACAGAATGAATTTATAAAATATTATTTATATGTCAGTAATAATGTATGTAATTTTTTTTTTTTACCAACACATCTATGCACATATTTATAAACACACATTTATATCTTGACATTTAAATAAAAATTATATTATATCCAAAACTGAATTCAATAATTATGATTGTATTTTATTTTATAAGTGTTATTCAGTAAGATCAATTTTCATAATTAGTGCTATGAATACTGATGAAGTAAAATATTAGTTTCCATTTAATTTTTCTACATTAAGCATTACACATATAAATTGTATAGTATACAAATAATATCTCTATTGTTTAATTACTTCTTTTGTAATAATAATTTTACAATATTAGTAACATTTTTCATAAAGTAACATACATTTTTTTTATCTAATAACCACTGTTAAATCAATTTGTATTATAAACAAAGTTATATTTATATACAAAACATATTTTGACATAATATATTACATAAAGTAATTGAGAATTACCTAAAACATTATTTTAGCTTTTATCTTTTTATTGTAACAAAAAAAAAAATGAAACATACATGATATTAAAAACAATTTCTTTGGATATCCTAATTATTAAAAATGTATTATTGAATTTTCTCAAACAAGTGCACTGATTTGCAACTAAACCAATTTTTTTTTTTAATTTGAAATTGTTTTACCTACTTGCCTTAGTAATGTGACACCTATTAATCAAACAGCGTGCTAGACACTTGGTAATGAGTGAGAAATTATCTGGTAAAAAAGATCTGCCTCTCCGGCGACTGACTTCCGACCCATCCCGGATAGCGAACTCGTCAAGAAAACATATAATCATTGTAGTGTTGAACATTTATGCCCTGTTAAGCAACATGATGATGGTGCCAAACTTTTTGATTAATTGTCTGTTTCATATAGCTGTTAACTTGCTGTTAGTATTTGTTCATAAGTTTCTCTAAAGATTTATTAAATTGTTGTCGGTAATATTTATGGAAATTAACAGCTTCATCCATCCCTTGATATTTTTATTGTAGACTATAGGATATTACATATGTAGTGTATCTAGTCAAAAAGCTTACAGCTTTTCAGTATATCATTAGTTGTATCGGTTTTTAATTTTTAATAGAGTGATTTAACTTTTGAGATTCAAAATTTTTAACCAATTATTAAGGATGACAGTGTAAATTGAGTTTAAACGTGCTTATTTTCTATGAGTAATTCGTTAATTTTACATTCATAACAGTAGTTACTAGAACAAAATCGAAGTTTTAAGCAAGTAAAATCATACATAATTTTGGCTTCACTATTTAGTATTCTGCAAAATGTATAGAGTAATCACTTAATGGTAAGTATTAAATTTGCTTAAATATATAAAATTGTCCTACGTTTACACAATTCGTAATTTTTAGTTATCACTTAAAACCGTTTAGGGCGGGCACTCTGTAGTGAATACTAATGCGGAATGCCAAGTAAATAGGTATATCAAGGAGCTGTGTTACCAATTCTTACAATATGGCAGCCGATTTTTTCTCGTAAGAAATACACTGCCGCCTTAAAAAACCGTCAGCCATGTTGTTGGTATCTCAAGTTGTTGACATACCTTATTATTTTGTCATGATGATTACTGAATAGTGATTATAGTAATTAATGTAATACACACTACACATAGGTATTATTTGAAATATTTTATTTAATTGCAGAAGTATTATAAACTAAATTGTTTAATTTAAAAATATTAGTATTTAAACTTTTTTAGAAACCAACTATCAGAAATGAGTGACGGTTAGTATCAACAACATCCATAATAGTTATGTTCCCAACTATTAAAATTAAATAGGTGCCAATATGCCATATGGTCAATGTAAATCACGTCTTACTGTACTATTTAAAGTTTTATATGTTAAAATAAATATAGGTACTCAGTTAACGTTTAAAAATTAACTAATAACAAAATAATTTACTCAATAACGAAATGTATGTCTATTCCAACCAGCTTAGTTTAATATTTAAATATAGTTTAGAAGAACATAAATACAGTATAAAATTAGATTTTTAAATAAGCGATACAATTTTTTTTAACATTACTGATTTTAAATATTGTAGTTTCAAAACAGTGTATTATGTTATTATTCATTTTTTATATATATTAGCTGTTAATACTTCTGTTTCAGATCCAAGAAGTATGACACTTGCATTGAACAATTTTGAAGCATTAAGTTTAGCCAATCAGGGTTTTTCGTTGTCACTTTATTCTGTAAAGAGCATATTAAATATTAGTAAACTTAAAAATACTATTGATACTAAGTTTAATTATTATTTTTAGAAATTAAGCCAACAAGATGGAAATATATTCTATTCTCCAATAAGTATACATATCATCTTGTTCATGGCTAGTATTGGAGCAGCAGCACAAACATTTGATGAAATTTTGAATACTCTACATTTAACTAAGGAAACCAATTTTTCGGAAATATATAAAGAATTATTAAATAGTTTAAAAAAAGTAATTTTTTTTTATTTTATTTTATTTGTTATACTCCGTTTGGTAAGTGAATTTTCTGTGTAGTACTCCGCCACTACAGCACAATTCCTACCCGTGATATGCATGAATCGTATATGTTCTCATGACAAATAGAGAATAAATTAATTTTTTTTGTAATGATTTAACTGAAGGTATAATTTTTTTTTCATATGTTGACAAAATCTTATTATACCAAGCTTCTCGTTATCATGGAAATTGAGGTAATAAAATTAAATAATTTGATTGTATATTGTGTACACACTTAGGAAAACAGTACACTAAACTTAGCCACTGGGATGTTTGTTGAAAATTCTTACACGATAAAGCAAAGTTATTTAGAAAAGACAAATGAATACTTAAACTCTACAATTGAAAAACTCGATTTTAAATCTAATCCAGAAGTTCAACTTGTTTATTTAAATAACTGGGTTGAAAGCAAAACAAATGGTAAAATCAAGGATTTATTCTCAAAAGGTATTATTATTTTTTCTCAAAATGCACCCAGTCAATGTTAATAATTATTAATTAATCATTATAATCGAAGGCTAGTTGGACATAAGGGGAACATGATAACTTTAACAATTCAATAAATATGGGTTTTTCTTGATTTTTTTTTTACTTGGTTTTTTTAATACTGATTACCTACAGTCAGTAAAAATTAGCAATTAGTCATTACCCAAAATTATAATCTTAAACAAAAGTCTAAGTGTTAGGTGCTACTTTTCATACGAGGCATCGATATAATGATTACATACTGTGCAAACCAGTATTATTGGCATGACCTAAACATTATTTATAATAATGTTATAATATTTACATTGTTATTGAATTGTTTTATTATTATTATTATTATTTATATTACAGACTCTATAAATGAAAATACAGCTTTAGTGTTGGCCAATGCTGTGCATTTTAAATGTGATTGGTTACATAAATTTAATGTTGCAATAGACGAACCATTTTATGCGACACCTACAACTAAAGTTAATGTTAAAATGATGAGCCTCACTAAAGATTTACTTTATTATCATGATGACCAATTGATGTATTCAGCATTAGAGTTGCCATATAAAGTAAGTCTTCTTAAACAAGAAAACACCATAAGTTTAACAAAACAAAATTTGTGTGCAGAATCATAATTTTAAAATGATAATTTTATTGCCTGATGCAAATGGTGGTTTAAATGATTTGGAAAAAAATCTTTCTAAAATAAAACTAAACGAGCTTACAGAAAAAATGTCCAAGTATAAAGTAAATGTCAAATTACCACGATTTAAACTCGAACAATCATTTGACCTTCAAGATGTATTGGTAGAAGTAAGTTAAAAAATAACAATTTATAAAAATATAATATTTATTAATATAATTTTATTATAATATTGGTGGCTTTGTGTTTAAGTATTCCCATAAACATAAAAATAGGTTTGTTAAAAAGATTGGTTAAATAATTTAAAAATAAAATTAATGAATTAGGAAATTTAGCAAAATAATGTATCAGTCAAAATGTTTTGCAGTTCTAGAATAGGGTTTTTGTGTAGAAATGGGTAAATGCTTATCAACATTTTTTTTTGTGAGTTTTCATGAGTAGGTTTGACATAAATATTAAAAACATTTACCTACAATTCAAGAATTTGGTTTAGGTATGTAGATGCAGTTTTAACTCAATATTTGTGATTTCCTTCAAGATTTAAATTCTCATTATCCTTCTATTAAATTAACATTAAAAAAAATTATTCTCAGTTATTTGTGAGTGTTGAAAATGATTGCTACCGAAATACCTGTATATGCTAATACTGAAAAGTGTATCAGTTTTGTGTTGAACGGCATCTTTTAATCTTTATTACTTCATTTTTCAATATTTTTTACTTAACTTTGTATACTTCACAAGTTTGGCTTAGATTTTTTTCAAGTTCAATCAAAAACAATAATTGTTTAATTTAAATTACTCTGTATAATTTCTATAGCTTGGTTGTCTATCAATGTTCTCACCAACGGAGGCAAACTTTTCTGAAATATATGATCGGTCTGAAAGACCTTTGTACATTAGCAAAGTTGTTCACAAAGCTTTTGTTGAAGTAAATGAAGAAGGGACAGAAGCTGCAGCTGCTACAGGTAATGCATATGTGTTTAATTAACTCCTTTCTTCTTTTTCTAATATTTTATTGTTTCATTTTTATTAATAACTATTATTAATTTTTAAACATGAGTATTTTTATAAGTTTTTATACTTAAAGTGTATAACTTACTGGTTTAAATTTCTCCCTTAATATTTAATAAATAATAACTGGTTTTAAATATGTAATCCAAATCTCTATATCCAGTGATTGATCTGGGAGTAGCTACAGAGTGACTAAGTTTACTCTAACTCGTTTTAAGATATTTAACTGTCGTCGTGTAAATCATTCGATAGTACCTGTCATGGTAGTACGGCAGTACTATCACATTTTTTGTTGTCGTGTAAATGGGCCTTTTATCAACAACAGATCACTTCTATTAACTTTCTCCCACTCTATCACTGTTTGTACCTTTGAAAAAATGTACAGTAGTAATTAAAATCTCAAAACTAATTATTTAATTATATCCATTTTAAAGAAAAAAAATAATGAAATATTTAAATAAACCCTTAACTACAAAAATAATACTCTATAGCGTTTATGTATTTCAGCAGCAATGTTACCACCATCTGCGCTGATCAGTCTATTGTATCTGTATCCATTTTTTTCTTATTATCAATCCTTCAATTGGCTGGCTGCAATTCTGCAATCCTTACTATAACGACTTATTCTTTTTAGTACTTTCATATCACATTTTTAACATACAGTTTTAGTACATAAAAATCTTCTATAGTTGAAATTAATTTACTATAGTTTAATCAAATTACCTATATTTTGTTCTTTAAATTAGGTTGTGTAATTCGAAAGAAAAGAAGTTTACAGACATCAAAAACTACAAATTTCATTGCCGATCATCCTTTTTTGTTTTATATATTATCTAATAGGAATATTAGTATTTTTGTAGGACGTATGAGTGAAATAAAACCACAAGAACATGTTTGTGTTAATGAGGAACTTTAATTATTAATAAATTATCACAATAATGCTAATATCATAAGCGCAAATAGCAAGACATTTTGGAAGGTCTGAAGTCTAGTAATTTAAAGTATTAATAAAAAATATTATTGTAATTAAGTGAATGAATCCGATATTACTAAATTTTGGAGTTGAGGTTTGAGAGAGTTGAGTGGGACCTTTTCCCTACTTCTCCCTCCTATTTGTGTCATTGTCAATACTTATTTCAATATTGCTATACTATTGTGTTATTAGGGATGGTTATGTATGCTCGATGTATGCTGATGGAGTATCAACATGTTGATTTTCTTGCTAACCATCCATTCATCTTCTTCATAGTGAGCAATAACATTGAACCTTTATTTGTTGGTAGATTGCTAAATATAATTTGAAGTTAAATATAATATAATATTATGCTTTTTTTAATATTCCTATTTATATTGTTGTACTTTTAAACTGGAATTTTTTATTGTTAAGTTTAAAAATAATAAACTTTTAGCACAAAAATTATTGTTAATTATAGTCTATAACCAACTAGTATACTATTATAAGTATTAGGTTACCATAAGCACAAAAGAGCTAATTTTTTTTTTTTTGTTATCTATGGAGTCCATTTAACAATGTATAATGTGTTAAGTGTAATTATTGTGAGCTTAATTTATTAGTTTATTTATTCACATAGTATTATTAATAAATATTAAAATAACTCAATTTATTAAACATACTACTTGTCATAAATCATATTAAAATGTTTATTTTTTTGTAGAAATTGTTCTCCGCATAAAATGCAACAACTGTTGTATCTCCTAATAATATTTTGTTTAACAGGTATTATATTTTAACAAGGGAATTCTCACTAAAAACAAACCTTTGTCCTTTACTTATACCTTAATCATACACTCGTTTATACTTTTTATAAAAAGCATCATTCTAAATGTGATGATTAATTTTGTATTAGGTAATATTCAATTAAAACAACATATATTTTCCTAAATTATACTGGACTGACATTTATATGATAATAACGTAAAGGTGCGATTCCTATGCCCGCGACTACAGCCGCGCCGCGGCGCAATCGTTTTTTTTAGCCGCGCGGCCTAAAACGAATTCCCTATAGATGAGCAATCCGACAGTACCTATGCACTATGAAGTCGTAGTGTGATAATTAAATTTAATATTGTATATTTTTTAAAATGTCGGTGTCACGCCACCATATAAAATGTTACTATCTATAACATTTTTACAGTAATCTGTTTTACATCACTTATGTAAAATTTTTTAAAAAATACAATATGTTCCAAGCCAGGGAAAGTGAGGGACTTTTAATGTACTTATTGAGAAACACTTATGGGAAAACCAAACGAAGTTTCGATTTTTTTAGATTAAACTGGTATGAGTTTAACTATGTGTTAAACTTAATAGAAGCCGATATAACTTGTAATCCAACAAATAAAATTAAGAGACTAATTTCTCCAGCTAAAAATTGGTAGTTACGTTTAGGTAAATTTGAAAACTCGTACTATAATCATAGCTGGTAGTGTAATTAAAATTAGTTCTCGTTTTGTTGTTAGTCTTTGTTATATATTTTGTGGATTCCAAATTAGATGTCCTTCATTCCTATATGAGGACTCCAATCGGTCGTTCGTCCTGCTGTAAATTCCAAATATGTTGCCCAATTCCACTATTTGTGTGTTTATTTAAAATCAAACTCTTTATCAAGTCCGCCAGATCTATAAGCGTTTGCGCCCAATGAGCTTGATAGGGTCGTATAGTTGAGTTGAGAACTCCTGACTGAGATTGGTTCATACCTTGTTGATTATTTTCCACCTCCAACTCGCTTACTATACGTAAAACGTCCATTTTCGCCCTTATTTTTAAGTAGGCGAAAAATATTTTACCGTCAATCAGTGGCGTAATTTGGTCATGTATGAGGAGGGGGGGATAAAAAAAACTGCATACATGTTATTCATCGCCCCCTCCCTCCCCCCATTTTTTTTTATGTATACCACTGTGATTTGTATAACGCCAAGGGAGGATACGACACCCACCAAATCCCCCCCCCCGTAATTACCCCACTGCCGTCAATGCCATACTTTTGAAATAAACATCGATGGGGTTTTCTTCAGCTGTTTTTAAAAGGTGTTCCATAATTTTCACACTTTTTGTAGATGTTAAATTAATTTTAGGAGCACTCTCTATCTGTCTTTCCGTATCTTGTTCTCCTTGAGGAAACGGTGTATTTTTACTTGTATCTTCCTCACCATGTTCACTGAAAATTGACATGTCGCACCCCCGCTTAAAAAGTGACACAACTCAAAAAACATGATTTTCGAGGTTATTATAGCATAATATTTTAAATAAATATCATAGGTATCATTATTGTGTAAAAACGTCATAAGTCTATTGTTATTTTTCACCGATAGATGGCGCACGACACTTTTGGTATTACAATATTTTACATTATGTTGTACTTTTTTAAATGACTATTGGAAATGACTATTTTTCTAGTTGTGTTACTTTTTAAGCGGGCTTGCGATAGCCGATGTATACTTTAGCACAGACGATATATATATATTTATAAATTAAATATTAATGAACTCTCCCCAACAAACTCTTTCATTCATCCACGAACACCAGTCATATATTTTATATTACATATCGCCGCCTTGGTAGAACAATGACAACTGCAAAAATTGAAATTTTACAGGAGAACAAAGAAACCAAATTATTTTCACTAAAATGTTGTGGGATGTAATATTAATGGAATGGGAATGTTGGGAAATTATTACAACTACAGTTACGTCGTTTTTCTACCTTATGCGTTTGATCTATGTATTTAAACCAGGGTACGAAACAATTACTAAACTTTTCCAAAGAGTTCCAGTTTAACATTAACTGTTTCACAAGAACTTTAATTGAAATAACTTTTTGATAATAGTCTAACAATAACTTTTATCAAAATAACTTTTTGATAAAAGTCTAATAAGAACTTTTATTAAAATGACTTGTTGATAAAAGTTCTGTTAATATAAGTCCTTGCCAAAACCGTTTCATAAAATTTCTGATAATAGAAGTTCCTACTAGATTATTTTTAATAAAAGTTTTTACATGCAAGCTGATCAGTATCGCCAGTGACGTATTTTGAACAAAATGTTGGAGGGTACCCAATTTTTTCGTTCAATCCCAGTGTCCGTAATTTCTGTATTCTCTTGTTTTTCATAGTTTTTTTTTCACTCTCAACTTAAGTACCTCCCTCCTCTTTTAATGCCGACCACTTACATCTCACTTATGGTAGTAAATATTTATAATATAATTTAAAATTATAGATTTTGTTTAGTCGCTAGTTTGATTATTTATTCTATACATTTTTTTTTATAACAAAACTAAATTAAATTAAATTATAAAATCTAGACGTCTTTTTTTTCGTCGGTCTCCACAAAATAATGATTGATACAATATTTCATTGTAAATAATAAATACTGTAAGCGTAACAATAGCGTAAAAATATGTTGTTTTAAATATTTGATAATGATTATAGATTAATTGACAACTTAGATGATGAAAACTTTTATTATAAAAAAACTAAAAAGTTCTGTAAAGAACTTTTAAATAAAAGTCCTCGACAAAAAAGTTATTGGAAGAACTTTTATTATAAAAGTTCTCGGAAGAACTTTATAATAAAAGTTTGAAAAAAAAAGTTTTTGCATTAACAGTTTCAAAAAAGTTCCTTAAAAAAGTATAAGTTAGAACAGCAACTTTTTCAATATAAAAGTGTACAGTTATTTTGGAACCCTGATTTAAACACATTGAAGCATTTAGGCCATTTTACCAAATTTTGCAGTTAGGTCATTGTTCTACCGGGGCGGCGATATATATTTATATGATAATATACTATTTCAATTAATATTAAATGCAATATTATACTAATTAATTGTTCATAACAATAATTAACAGATGGATTAATTAGCTTATCACGTTCATAAAGAGAGGAGCCACGTCGCGGCCGCCACTCGACCGCTCTCGGAGCGGTCAGAGTCGCGGGGCTATAGACGGCAGACGCCCGCGATCGTCAGAGGAATCGGTCATATAGTAGTAACATGTACAATGTAGGATGTACAATGACGTTGAGATAAGGGAAGCATAAAATTTTTGAGTCATAGAATAGATATTTGGAGAAAAAAAAATTAGAGAAAATAAGTGAATACAATAACTACAATTATTTATATAGATTATAGAGCAGCGGTTCCCAGCCTGGGGGTAATTACCCCCCAAGGGGTAAAACACGATTTTTTGAGTGGTAAAGACTCAACTATTTATTTTTATTTTATGTACTTTATATTTATTATTATTAACTCTGCATCAGTCATATACATGTCATATACCTTCAAAAAATATTTTTTTTACTTTTTATTGGGAGGGAGGGGTATTTATTAGTATCTAACCAGATTTATGGGTAATAGTCTCAAAAAGGTTGGGAATCGCTGTTATAGAGTGATGATATTATATACCTATCAAATTATTTTAAATAAATATATCTCTACACCTAGGAATGGCCTAGAAACATAACTACTTATATTTTATAATTTATTCTTCCAAACTCAATGTTTCTTTATCATTAATATTATTATCAAATGATAATATTGATATGATTTTTAATTTTACTGTTTACCTTTAATAATAATGTAATACTATAGTCTATATTTTATTACCTAACATTGTTAGCAATCGACTATAAACTATATTATTAACTATTTTATATAGTTCACGGTGTTATTTTACAAATTATCAGCTCTATGTATACATTATATAGTTCTAATATATTATTGTTGAATAATTTAAGATTTTGGATTTAACCTCATAGTTAAAAACGTTAAGTCAATAGCTACAAAAAATGGTGGTATGTATATGGTGTTAATGTTAATTACCGTATTCATATGTACCAATTTATCACAATAATAGTAAAATTTTACTTTAACCAAGAAACATGTTGTATATTTTTAGAAAATATCTCTTCAAATTAAAGCAAATTTAGAAAACATAACTGATTTAGCACCAGATGGTCAAGATTTTCGATGGTATTTAAAGGTACTTTAGTATTCCTTAAATAATATAAGATATAAATTAAAATTTTTGTAAACTTTTCATAATCACTACAACCATTTTTACTTTTATATTGGCTTCAAAATTAATTTCATGTTTAACAATTTTTTAAAATGTTATATTATATTTTTATAGATAAAATATATTATAGACATAGGCAATGCGAAGCACCTAATTTCCAGCGTTAAAAAACTTGACAGCTGGAATTTAGTTTAAAAAATGATTATTTCGAAATCAAGAATAGAAAGTAAATAATTTTGTTAAATGGAATATCTTAACAATTTTTAAAATTATTTTCTATAAAATCAGTTTAAAATTGTGAAAAATGCTTATTTCAAACTTCAAGCTAATATATTTAAAACAAATGTGACGTTCCTTCCAGAATGTCATCTTTTTTCAATTAATATGTAGGTATTATATTTTGTTAATGTGTGAAAATCTAAAAAATAACTACAATTAAAATATCCAGATTGTATATAATACATTTACACTGTAGACAAACTAGATATACCTTTTAACTAATATTACTATATCAAATTCCTTAATAAATAAGTTTTATAACGACTCTTTTGTATTTAAAATAGGTTATTAATAAAAAAATCCAGGACTACTACGACTGCTATAGACAAACGTTGCCTTGTTTATAATTGTATAATAGTGTACGATAAATTTATTATATTACTTTAACAAAAGTTTTCTGATTAAACACCTTTACACAAATATACAAATATATTATTATATGCTATAAAAATTATAATAATATTCTATTGAGTAATGCATTTAACGTAAATTAATTAGCACCTATTATAAATTGATTTTAAATTTAATCTAATAACTTAAAAAAATACTTTTATGATGCACATCTTATTTATCGGTTGCAGTTTCAATGTACAAATTGTGGCGAGCAATCAGATAAATGGATATATATGTCTCAAGACGTTAGTATCAATTTGATTTTAACAAGTAATTAATGTTAAACTTATTATTATAAAATATTTAAAATCTATCCTGATTTCTTTAAGGAAAAAGTTTCAATGAAAGGGAGTAGAGGTGAAGCTAATTTGGTTACTAAGTGCAAAATGTGTTCTAGAGACAGTTCAATTGGTATGATTGAAGATAATTTAAACTATAACATTTTAACGTTTTTTATATGGCTACAAATTATTAAAAAGTACTGAATTTTGTTTAGATATTCTACCTGAAACTGTATCAAAATATACTATTGAAGACTCAAACAAATTTAAAACAGTTGTGTCGTTCGACTGTCGAGGCATGTCAGTTGTGGATTTTTCACCTAGAAATGGCTTTAAGTGTCGTGGCATTGAAAGTAATACACCTTTTGAGGATATAAACTTAGAAGAAAGAGAATGGGTGGACTATGATGAAAAAGCAGGTCATCCAGTTGGAATTTATGAACTTCAACACAAACTCATAAATACTAAATAAACATAATATACTCATTTTGTTTTTTGTTAACTGTTTTTTTTTTTATAAATGTCAATAACTCAATATTAACTTTAAAAATATCAGTTCAGAAGCAATTTAAGTAATTAAATTGATTACTAATAAATTTAGGAACATACAGAAAGAAAGAAATAGCCTACTACTACATTATATAAAATGTATGGTGATTAAAAATATCAATTTTCTTCATCCTCTTCTTCTTCATCATCGCTTGTATCACTTAACTGTTAACAAAAAAAAAAATATATAAGCTATATAACAATGTAACCAAATGTTACTATGATTTTATATTACTTACTCTAATTAATCCTATTTTGAATGAATATACAACCATTGTAATTAGAGAAGTTAGTCCAATCAATACATTTCTAGTTTCGTCTCTTTTGTACCAACGTATAACTTCTATTTTTTTATTAGATTCCTCTTTTTTTTTTTCATTACATTTGTGAGCTTGCCAATCTAGTTTGAAATACTCTCTAGATATTCTATCAATCCATATACACAAATTTTTACATGTCTTTATGTGTGCTTGTAGCTTATTATCATTTAATGGGGCGTTTGATAGTGGTCCTAAATAACTATAGGCAACTGCATCTAATAATGTAGGATGAGATCCAAAAAAGTAAAAATTATTGCCCAGACGATTTTCTAAGCCATTAATACATTTTATTGCCTCGGTATAAATCTAAAAAAAAAAAAATACTTGTTAAATATATTAATAACCATTTCAATAAAATAAAATATATACAATATAATTAAAGTAGATGAAAAGTAAAAACTACTTAAATATAATCTATACTCTGTCCCTCAAGAGACCATGCCGCGACCCGTCGAAAATTGGCCGTTCAGCGCATCCCCGCGCAGCACCCAGTGTGACTTGCGTTCCCCCAGAGACCGCCCTGTCTTCGACGGCTTAGTCTTCAGTCTACATGCGCAAAACCGGCATGTTCTCTCAGCAGACAGGGTATAGATCCTAATACTTAAATTATCTAACTAAAGTCGTAACTATGTTAAAAAATAAAATAACCAATCATTAGCGACAAAATATATATATAATTGTGCATTCATCAATTTTTTACTGTCTCATAAGAGAATACTAGTAGTACGTTTTGGGTTCCGAGTAGTACCATTCTCTTATAATGTATACTGTGGAGTAATTTTATTAACGATTTAGGATATAGCTGATTTGTTATTTTTTTTTTTAAATAGTTTACTTAAGAACTATAAAAAATATATCATTATTACACACAGAACTTATTTTATAAATAGTTTAATTACTTATACTTACTTCCATCATAATATCATTATCAGAATCTAAATGGCTGTATAATGTATAGATTTTATGTTTGGCTGCTTTTTCATAAGCATTTGGATAATACCAATTTAATGGAAATTTTAAAGCGTTTCTATACAATGGCTTAGTAAAATTAAGACAATTATTCTCATCTAACCACCTAAAAATAAAAAAAATATGAATATAAATAACTTAAACTATGAAGAAAAAATATGTAACATTTACCAAGCATATAATAATGCTGGTTCAAGTTGTGCATCTAACATACTGATTGTAGCATATTCTTCAGCAAGTTGTTGGTTAGACAATCCAAAATCAGGACTAAGATTCTGCAAGTGTAAACTAAATAATTTAATAATTGGAAAAATAGTAAGCCATGTTCTAGCATGGAACATGCTTTAGCCTTGGCCTCCTAGCTCAAAAACGACACAAAATAGAGTGATAGGCCCTACTTCTGTTAAGATTGATTTAAATGCACCGGATAATTTAGATGTGGTCGGCCCCTATGCCTCTTGCCTCAGCACCTCTACTTATATTATGCTGCACAACTGAAATAGGCGTAGCGGTCTCCATTACTACTTTGATGCGGCACTCATATACACTGTGTAACATATAAAATATAAGATGCCGTCAAAATAATAACGAGTTGTCGTCATCATGCAAACGTTTTGGCCAGAACATATAATTAAGACTATACTATTGTCATAAATCTTAAGGAGATTATAAATCGGAAATAATCACTATTCAGAAGCCAGCAGGCTAAAGTATGTTCCATGTATTATAATTTTACCCGTTAGGCTTTAAGTAGACTGTAACTTTTTTTTACTAACTTGTTTTTCAAGGCATTCTATTAATTGATCTCTGTTGGATATTATTCTTTTTTTAAAGCTGACCATGGGCAAATAGCCATTTACAGATTTAAATGGATTGTTCGAATAGTTGATAGTAATTGGTGCATTGGTAAATCTAGCAAATGCCTAAAATAAAATATGAATAAACAATACTAAAGTTGAAGATGATAGAAACTATTCCTTACCAATACTTCTAGACATTTGTAATCAATTGAAGGTAATCCCCAATCTCCTTTCCAACTATCTACTTCCAACTGAGAAGGATTAAACATCATTTACTTTTGGAGAAAAAAATCCGTTAGCCTAAATTCAGATTATCAAAAAATTAAATCAAAAAGAAATAATCATGACAAAATATATTTAGTTGCCATAGAAATAATAAAAAACATTCACATGAGGGTGCTTCAAAACAGAATCACAATTCCCGACATTTACCAAGTAGCAACTGCAAATATGAAATATTTTATATCTTAAGTCTTGAGTCGACTCTTGCTTTGCGAATTTCCTTATCATTAATACAGATTTAAGAGTAGGTATCAAATATATACACTAATTATGTCAAAGACTTCGTAAATATTTAAACTGTCAGTGTTGACAGTATATTTGTCATTGGCAACACTGTATGAAAATTCGGATAAACATGTTTTGCCATTAGAAGAAAATAGGGTTATATTAGTAATACAGATTATTGTGGTTGATTTCTTTCCCTTTTACGTGTACGGTCTATTCTTTTGAACAGCTAGTCACGTTTTTCTAAAAATTTCCTAAGTGATCGGAGAAATCGCAACGAAAAGATGGCTGAACCAGTTGTAAGTACATTCATAAGACTTGGTGGTAATATTACAACTTGGAGTAATTCAGAAAAAACATAAATTTCGAAATCTATTTATTCCCAAGTTCTGTTCACAATATCAACGTCTTACATAATATGTTACAATTATTATATTTTAAATTCTACTTAACTTTATTTTACGTATATTTACAACAATAATAATAAGCCATAACTAAACATACGTTATTTAAAAAATATCTTTTGGCAAAGACTTGACGTAGCTTCACACTGGAGTCTCAAAAGTTTTTTTTATTTACAAAATAAATTATAATAATATGAACCGTCCTATTTTAAATAAAAGCTATAAAAAAATTGTAATAATTGTTACAATTTGATATTTTAACTATAAATTACTATGGAGAAATGTATCCCTCAATAACTTTATAATTGTGACTAAAACCTAAATTAAAATATTTAATATAAACTTATGAAGTATTATTTAAACAAAAAATTGAAGAAAACAAAATTTTAATATTACATTTAGTGTTTTTCTTATTATTTGTGAAGTAGATTTTAATTACTGAAGGGTAACAAACGGGTTAATCTAATTTTTCAGGCAGAAGTTGAACATAAGGCAAAAAGGCCTTTCCGTAAATTCACTTTCCGTGGTGTTGATTTGGATCAACTTTTGGACATACAAGGGTATAATTAACAATAGTATTCTAGTTTAATATTGTTGAAATTTATTTACTTAAATAATGAAAAATCAATTTGTATTGCAGTGAACAGTTGATTGAATTGTTGCACTCCCGTGCTCGTAGGCGCTTTTCTCGAGGCGGACTCAAACGCAAAGAGTCTGCATTAGTAAAAAAACTACGTCGTGCAAAGAAAGATGCACCACCAATGGAAAAGCCTGAGGCTGTTAAAACTCATTTACGCAACATGATCATTGTACCTGAAATGGTTGGTAGTATCATTGGAGTCTACAATGGAAAGGTTTTTAATCAAATTGAAATTAAGGTAATTAAAGTTTGAATATCAATATTTTTTTTCTTTCTAACAAACTATATTTTTACTTCTTTAAATTTAATTTTAGCCTGAAATGATTGGACATTATTTGGGAGAGTTCAGTGTCACATACAAGCCAGTCAAACACGGTAGGCCCGGTATTGGAGCCACTCACAGTTCTAGGTTTATTCCATTGAAATAATTTTTTTTTTATTCAATATAATGACATATGGTTAATCATAATCTTTTAGTTTTTTTTTGCCTTCTTTGTCCAATAACATTATCTTATAATAATTATGTTTTGTTAAAATATATTACTGAGGTTACTTATTGATGACAAAAATATTTTGGAATACAATGATAAAATGAAAACTCTGCTATTATAAAAATTACAATAGTGTACTATACAAACATGACTATGGTAAAATTCAACAAAAAACTTGGTGACGAATGTGCGTTATTAGATCCAGAACAAACATCATAAAACACAAAAAACATATAAAACAATATTATTTGCTAAGAAAGGTTAGTAGAGAAAATAGGAACCAATTTGTAGATCTTCATAGTGTGTACATTTCATCAATAGAATCAGATCTTTATCAGGTCTTGTATATTAAACTAATTAAAATATAAAATTTTCTATCAAATAATTTAATTTGAAAAGTTGAGTATTTTACTATTACTCAGTACCTACTATTGTTTTATTAGTAGGTATACTATTTAGCTAAATTATATTTTTATGAAATGTAAATACCGTGTATTTTACTATAGCTGTCATTGAAAGCATAATTAGTAATAATTAATAACAGATTATTTTATGTGGATAACTTTCAGATGTATCCACAAAAGATTTCAATTTTCAGTCCATATAAGTTTCAACACATTCATACCAGAATGATTGTATTGTGTGATAATATTTAATCTAAATGCATAAAATTGTTGGTTGTATGACATGTTTTAGGGGAAAATTGTACATAGGTGCTTTTCTTTTTAATATTAATGGTGAATAGTAATAATTGTTTACTAGTATTAGGAAGCCTCTATAAAATTATCATCATGTAGCTTAATGAGCCTTAGTCTTAACGCCATCGTGAGATAGTTTCTTAAAAAATTCACTATCAGGGCCTGGTGTAAAAATTAGCATATTTTCTATGTAGTAATAATTGGCGTGCCCTACAACTTTGGAAACATAGTATTACCTTATGATGTACATGCCTATCACTTTTTCAATTTTTTATACTTCAGTATAGAGCTATTAGAAATCTGTATCCAGAGAACTCACACGATAGTTATATATTATATTGTACAATATTGTTTTCAAAGTGCCACCAAAATAATAAAATTCTATGACTACAATGCAGCCTACAGTATAAATTAAGATTTTATGTCGTGGTGTTATTATTATTATTATTAAAATTTTTAAAATTATTCTAAAATTGATTTATGACAAAAAAAAAACACTTAAAATAACCAATTTTAATATTTTTCCTTCAAGTAATTAATCAAGTTCAACTAAATAATGATCAATTTTGTTTTTAGAAACAACCGCCAAGATTCACCGTTCAAGACAATATTTAATAGGTTACTACCAAACGAAAATGATTATAGTTGATTTTTATCTTTATGCAAATTGCAATGCAATATCTAATCAACCAATTATTAAGGATTTTTAAGGCGTAAAATATAATTTTTCGACATCATAAATTTTCATAGTTATTATTACAGCTGTTTGCAGAGTGGCGAGTTTTGAGAATTGAGCAATAATAATATTTTAAAAATGAAAACTTTAGTTTTATGGTACTGGCTTGAGAGCCTATGTAATATTGTAATAAGAGCGGTTAATCTGCATCCTGCTAAAGCGCTCTGATGACAGGGCGGATAAATTGTATGTTACATGGGTAGCTAATAGGATTTAAATTCCAGTAAGTATTTATTATACTTGAATCTTGATAGTTAATCTCTATAATTGAGTATACAATGGTATACTCAATGGCCCTATTCAACGGTAACTCATGTGTATGGCGGCGACCCCGGAGTTATTAAGTTGTAATTTGCTACTTTCTAGTTTCTGATTATAATGGCATTCGGAAATTGAATCTCTAGTATTAGTAATTAGTACGAGCACATATTATTTATTATATTTATAAATTATAGTCTATGGTAAAAGTTATAACCATAATTAAAACAATTATTGTTTAATTTTAAAAAAGTGTTCAAGTTGGCACCACTTTAAATTCTGATAAATGATAATGTTTTTTTTTTAACATATAGAATGTAGAAGTACTTTTAGCTTAAGTAAAGTAGAAAATATCTATTAAATTGTTATGCGTTGTTTAGATTTAGTTTATTTTGAAACTAGCCGAATAACTGTTAGTTAACTCGCTCACAGCCATTCTTATATTATCTATGATCTTAGTGTTGACGTGTCTGCCGTCACAATATATTTTGTTGTGACTGGTGATCAAAATGTACTCTAATAAAATATAGTGTAACATACTAACTAGGTTTTTGCAATTTGTAACAAGTGTGTATCAATGATTAATCAAAACTTTTCGATTGTGACTATTAACAAGTTATGTTTGTTTTGAAAGGCTGAAAGATGTCCAAAGCCATAGATCTGTATGAATTCTTGCTGGAAGCCGAGCTCCATCAATATTACTCGGAACTGAAAAACGATCTGAAGGTACATAATATGTCTAATACTTTTACTTAGAATGGATAATTAATGTATTGTTTTATCGTCTTAAGGTCATGACTGTCTCTCAAGTCAAGTTTGTAACGGAAGACGATCTTTATCAAATTGGCATGACCAAGCCAGAAATAAGAAGATTAAAAAAATATTTCCAAAAATATTACCCTCAAAATTACTTTTCGAAATTTAAAAAAGTAGGGTTTTGTTTATTATTTACAAATACCTACCACAATGTTTAACATTTTATTCTTTAATGTTAATTATTTGTTTGTTTAGTTAATAACATTAAAGGATAGTAAAGATCAATGGAGTGAATGTTCTGGTTCACAAGATTCCTTGAAACCTATTTATGAGAAACGACCCCCAGCTCGTGTCCCTAATAAACATATCATTCCTGCAGATTCAATCACTATTAATAAAGAGTTAGGTGTAGGGGAGTTTGGAGTGGTACAACAAGGTGTCTGGACCAATGAAGGAGATAGAGTAAGTGTAATTGATCAAACATTGATCTATTCTTAAATTGTATTATTATGTTAAAGATTCAAGTTGCCATAAAATGTTTAAGTCGTGATCGTATGCAAAACAATCCCATAGAATTTCTTAAAGAAGCTGCTATTATGCATAGTATTGACAACGAACACATTGTCCGATTATATGGTGTTGTTCTAGATACAGATGCATTAATGCTAGTAAGTAAACATTTCTAAATAGTTTTTAGTTAATAAACAAAACTGAATAAATCATAATAATAATTTAATAAAAATGAAAAATAATAAATAATATAACAAAATTATATATGTGTATATTAAATTATAGGTTACTGAATTGGCGCCACTTAGGTCTCTTTTAGAATGTTTAAAAGAGCCAACACTTCGTGCCAGTTTTCCAGTCATGTCATTATGTGACTTTGCAATACAAATATGCAATGGAATGCATTATTTAGAAACTAAAAGACTTATACACAGGTAATTTCCTTATGAACTGAACAGTTTTGTTTTTAAAATTTTATTTATTTTGTTTATTCAGAGATTTAGCTGCCAGAAACATTTTAGTTTTTACAAAAAATAAGGTTAAGATATCAGATTTTGGATTATCACGGGCACTTGGTGTTGGTAAAGATTATTACCAAACAAATTTTAATGTTAACTTGAAATTACCAATTGCATGGTAAATATAATTGTATCTATAATTATTGTCAAAAATCTAAATATAATTAATTTGACTCAGGTGTGCACCGGAGTGTATAAGTTATTTACGCTTTACTTCAGCTTCTGATGTATGGGCATATGGTGTAACATTATGGGAAATGTTTAGCTATGGTTTTCAGCCTTGGGCAGCTCTTACAGGACAGCAAATTCTTGAGGCTATTGATGAGCCCAATTTTCAGGTACCTAAATCTATTTTCATTTAGTGGATTTTTTTTTAAATTTAATTAATTTTTGTTTTTTAGAGATTAGAACAGCCTGATTGCTGTCCAAAAGAATATTTTAATGTCATGTCTAAGTGCTGGCAACATGATCCTGCTAAGCGACCACGTTTTTCTGAATTAGCATCTATTCTACACGATGTACGCTTACTTCTACAATTTTTTTATATAAATGTATTGTAACTATATAGTTTTTCTTTTTATATGATTCAGTGCAAACCAGAACAAGTTCAAACTGTTGTAAACTTTGAAGAGAAAAAAAGAGATATGCTCCAATATACTATTAAAGAAGTCATAACAGTACTTGATAAAATGTATGTACTAAGAATTAAACCCCATTTTACTTTATTTTTTTAAAAATTGTTATTTTAAAACAGGCCTGGTGTTCCGAATCTTTGGAAAGGAGTACTGTGTAATGGAAAGACTGGTTTATTTAATCCTTCTAACACTGTAGCTTATTTGGGTATGAATTTGCCCTCAAACAGGAATTCTGAATTTAATAGAAATGGTAAATATTTTATAATTGTATATTATTATAATAATTAACTATTTAAAACAAAAGGAAAAACTATTGACTTGTCAAAATATATTTTTTTTTTTTTTTTTAAAGTTTATTCCTAATAACTTCTAGTTTTTTACATGATTAAGACAACCGAATCTTTATAGTGTCCAAAAGAGTTTAATAAACTTATGCGAACAAAAAAATATATATATTATTTAATTAAATTCACATATTAAAAAAATATATAACAAATTATTGAATATTACATTACTTTGATTTAATAATTAAAACCATTTAAAACAATTCTGATTAAATATTCAGGTACTTCCATAATATAAACAACACTCTTGAAAACAAAATAGTAAAATTGTACATTAGATTTCTGAGATTAGAACAATCCTATGTTTGCGCATCTTAATCTGTATTTAACCCTGGTATAGGCAAATTGATTGTTAAAATACACACTCACTAAAAACGAATTTATTGTAGGTATAATTTTTAATTTTATTAAATGCTTGTTTACTTTTTTTTATTTTGTTTTTTTTGTAGATTTAAAATACTCTTCACGTCGAAGTAGTCGCCTTAAAATTGACATGATATCTTGCCCACAAGGTGATGTGAAGCATATGGGTCATGTGGGTCTTGATGGGGCTTATTTTGGAGATATTGAGTTTATGAGTACAAATGCACCAAAAGTAATTATAATCAGTGTTCTTATTAACTAGTTAATAGCTACTGTGTTTATGGAAGGCATCCAGTTAATTTGTTTATTAAACAAATGATCTCACCTAGTATTATATTTATTAATTTAAAAAACTTTAATACTAAATAAATTATTATTATTTAATATTTAAATTTTATTTGTAAAGTGAGCTGCTAAATTAAATTTTTCAAATATTGGAATAAAATATAAACTCATTAAAATATATTTTTTTTAATAGATGCTGAACTTGAAGAAATAATTTAATGAATTTGTTTTTTCATGAACTATTATTTTTCATTAGTAATAGTATAAACTTATATTTTTTAGTATAATCACTTACCCCATCAAGTTGTAGCACCTTACAAACCACAAGAAGACTGTGCTAGTGTTAGTGATTCTCCAACTTCTATTAAGGCTTGTTCAGATCGAGCACCATTACTAAATGGTAACAAATCAGAGAACAAAAAAAATGGTATGTTATTTGTAATATTAGACAAATTTATTAAATTATATTATTTATATTTATACATATATATATATATATACATATATATTAATAGATTTAATTGTATGGCTAGAAAAAAATAAATTAGCCAATATCTTAACTGACCATGAGTACCATGAAATTAGTGATGAAGATACTGTTGCTGAAAGTCCTAGGTTTGAGGTAAGCTCAGTTATATTTAAACTAAATTATTTAATTAAAGTTAATTTAATTTTACTGATTACTTAAATAGTAACTATTTTACTAAATGTAACAGTTAGAACTGCCGTAATCGAAGTATTAATTTAACTTAATCATTGTTATATTACTGGGCGGGGAGACATGGCCAAGAGTAGACAAGCAGTGTTTTTCGCGCTAGCCATGGTTTAAAACTCGGCTGCTGGTTGTTTCTCTTGCTGGGCGGTTAACTGTCTTCCCTAGGTCACAATTCTTGTCGTCTACCAATGATGTTATTAACAGAGTTGATTTGGGGTAAAATTATTCACCATAATATCAGAGTATTTAGGATTTTTAAACATCAGCCCAAATCGATGAACATGCCATTGATGGCCCCTCGATTTTAATTCTATACAACCCTAATTATTTGTTGTTAACAGTGTTACTAATTACATTATTTTTATTAAATAGTTTTATTATTTAAATTTATAATCCATAAAATATGCCTAAACACTTTATTTTACATAATTATTATAATGACAATTAATGCTATAAGAATAATTTATTTTATATTTATTTGTTATAACTTATTTGCATTTACATGGATATTTTAGAAAACTTTTGATTTTGGTCCAAGCCTGGTAGAAGAAATGGAAACCATGTTCAGAACTATAAGCACAAATGGTGTTAGTAATTATGCTGTGTCGCCACCAAGATCACCATTAGATCCTCTTGACACAAACCATCGAAATGAATTAAGGGAAATAGCAGCTACTATTGCTGCCGCTGCTGCATGTAACTCTAAGTCCAAAAAGAAACAAGCAACAGTAATTAATTAACTTTACATTACAAAATTAATGTATTATATTATTGTCCACATTAAATACTAGGTAAAACCAATATCTGCATCAGATGAAAAATCTCTGGATTCTGCCATTGCCATGGCTAGTGAGTTTGCTAATCGATCAATGGGATCGGATATTGAACAACCTCATAATCTTGTACCTGAATCTCCTTCATCACCTAATAAGCGCAAGTTTACATTTAAGTTCCCTCCACCAATGGGTTCTCTTACAAAAGCTCAAAAACATGAAATAAAAACATTTACTGATGAAGCTGCTTCTATTCCTGACATTCAAGTAAGCCTCAGTACTATTCTAACATACATCTATTACTTACTAACAATATTTTGTCTTATAATGCAATTTTTTCCTATTTCCTTTTGATATATTTCTTATATTTGCTTGTTAAAATAGTCATATAGTAGCTTACAATCGTTTTCATCTTTTATTAGTGCAGATTCTTTATTGGACAATGCCCCATTTCGTTTACCTTTATGGGACAAAGCATCCACAGAGTTTTATTTTGCTCGCTCAAGAGAACTATTGACCAAAGAATCTCCTAGTATTGGTTCATTAGACTATATTTCTTGTAGTTCTTTAAGAACAAATAAGTGCTCCAGTATAGATTCAACTGAAACATTAGTTGGTGACCAATACTCATGCCCCAATTCTCCCAAATTTAGATCTATAAACAAAACAGAAACATCATTTAGATCAAATACCTTGCCATCGAGTAAAACTAAAGATAAATTAAGACGCAGTTGGTCTGACTCTGAAAACAGTATTTACGTGTCTAAAGACATCCTTACTAAAAATCATTCCAATTTCCGTCTAATTGATGATGAAAACGGGGAACTCTGAGTGTGCTTTATAGGTTGATTTTTATTTTACGTTCAGTTTTGCGTTATTATTAGATTATAGTGATTGTCTAGGCCTTAGCCTACTCACGTACTTAATTTTATCTTTTAAAATATATACTACATATAATAGTTTTATTTCTCTGCATCAAAACAACAATTTGAATGCTCTATGCACGTCTCTTAAGTAATCATTTTAATGAATATAAAAAATAGCTAGAGTTGGGCATTTATATTTTGATATACTATTAATACATTCTAAAAAGTGAATTTTAATTGAATGGGCTGTTTGATAAAAAGAACATGTCTAATTTGTTGAGAATTTTACTTAAGGGGCCTCTACACTAGCATTTATTAAGGCGCATTGTATAGGCAATTTTTTACCAAAACTTAACATTAAGCGAAAATTTTTAAACACTTATATTATCATAGGAAAGAAGGATCTATTTTAATACTTATTAATTTTTTTAAATTTGTATAATGCATGTATGATTTTGTACAAAAATATGTTCCTACTTCAAATGTACTGTTCCTAAGAATATTTTGATTTAAGTACTGAAAAAACACGTGAATTCTTCATAAAATTATCAGGGTATTATCAGGATCATGGCACAATTTGTAAATTATTTTTAGTTAATTAATTATTTCAATGTAAAAAACTACTACTTCCAACTTTTTTAAACTAAAAATATTAATTTAAAAATTTTTTTTTTTAAATTATGCCACGATTAATGACTTGAAAATGTTAAATAATGTTTGAAGAATTCAAAATGTTTTCAAAAGTTAAATTGGAGTATTCTTAGGAACTGTACGTTTGAAGTAGAATGAGTTGTTTTTGACCTAAAATACACAGGTGTAGAGATCCTTTAAGTATCTTATTTGAATCTAACTTCATTGTTTCATGTTAAAACAAAACATATCCAAGTATTTATATAGTTTTTATTTTAGATAAGAGCTGTTACTAACTAGTAATGTAATTTTTTTTCTTTCCTGTAAAATGTTTGACTTCTCTTTTCCAAATAACCCGTTCAATTGTATTCTTATTAACAAAATTTATTTTCCTGGCATTTATAAACCATATACACAATAATCGGTAACATAATATTAGTGAATCTAACAACATACGTTAATTATGTAGTAACAAGTTAAAATTTTATAATTAACATATTAACTTGCTTAATAGACTTATGTTATTTGATACATTTTTTGTATTGCTGATACATGTTCAACTCTAATGTTACAGTATTCTTTATTATCATTCCATAAAGTATAAATGACCACAGAAAAATTTTAGGTTCAATCAACTGTATAATTAATTGAATTGGGAATTTCGAAAAGGGCTCATATTGGTCTATATGTGTAAATTAAAAAAATGCGGAAAAATCAATTTTGATCAAAACTCAAGATGGACCCTTTTCGAAATTTACAGTTCAATTAGGTATGAATTTTATTTCAGTCTAAATATTGTGTGCTGACTTTAATAATAATTTATCTAATGGAACTCTTTTTTGACATATAAAAAGTTACACATTGTGTTTATATTAATACATTTGTTGAGCTATAAATAGTTAAACTTATTATTATCATCATTCATCTGCTCTAAATAAAAGCATGAATAAAAGTTTACAAGATGTTTTGAAATAACTTCAAAACTAACATACCCTTTTTGTATTTTATGTTCCTTTCTCTTTACTTTGTAGTTAATACTTCTCCTAATGCAGTAAAAAGTAAATGTAGATTAGTATAAGTCGTTTGCTTTGTTTTTTTATTTATTTTATGTGTGTGTTTTGTTTAATTTATATTTCCCTTTTTCCTTCTACACTCCTATTCGTTTCCACTATACGCACATAGGGTTGTTTGACAGAAGAAGCCAAACTTGCATATAATGGACTGATTGAGAAACCTACAAATGTTGAGTGTACTAACTCCTTGAGAATGTTAAAAAAGACTCCTATTGCAAAACCAAAATTCAAGCCAAATAAAAATGATAACGGGTAATTGATTTAATGCATAATTTAATTTTTTTTAACATTATTAAATGTTCTGAATCACAATTTTATAGAGCATTAAGCGGTGTATCTGAAGATGATACAAACGATTCAAGTTGTAATATTATACCTTTGCCTCCTAAAGATCCAAGGACTATACAGCAACTGACAGCTTCCAAGCCAAGACACCAAAGAAAATACCCATTAATCATGCCAAACTCAATGCCACAGTATGGGAACCAGACCAGTGATCAACCAATACTTGGTGGACAAGCTACAAGTAAACTAAAAATAATTTATTTTAATTGATTAAAAATAGTTTATTCTTAATAGTTAATATTATAGTAACTGTTTATTATTATTAATATAATTATTTTTTAGATTTTGAGGAGAAATGTAGTTTTATTGAAAATAATGAAATTCAAGATCAAAAGTAATTAATTAAAACAAAATCTAAATTTAAATGTTTTTTTTTTGTATATTATATTTTAATTTTCTTTTTATTAGTACTGAAGTAAGTTTTGATGAACGCATAGCATTAGAATTGGATGCTCTTGATCATTTAGATATTGTCGAGTCACCTGTAGCTGAGCAACCAATGATTATTTTCCAAAAACTCAAAGATGAACATAATGTGTCACCTTCAAACGAAGATCATAAAAACATAACAGAACAACATTTTGAAGAAAATAGCATTGAGAGTGATGAAGTTCGAATAATGATAAAAGTTCTTGGTCCTAAGGTAAGTGTTCATAACTGTGTTATAATTAAATCGTTAGTCACGTTCTTTTTTAACGTCGGCGGTCGCATGGTAATGATTCTCTCAACCTTTTGTATTTACAACCTTAAATTTTATTAATTACCTAAAGATATATACTACAAACACATAATTAATTATATTAATTATGCATATATTATTTATAAATGTATATCCACCATAAAAAACTAACTTAGTCGCAAATTGAGAAATCCTTTACCTTGTTTGCACAAACTGCTTGTTAAATGGTTATTTATTTTTTCCATATGTATAATTCTTTACTTGGACTACATTTTATTGATAAGGTATAGGTATTAAACAAGACAATAAACAAAGTAGTAACCAACATTATCATATAGTGAACAAATCTCTCACCATGCGACCAACGATGGGTTAAAAATACTTACCCAGGACCAGCAGCAGCTAAAGGAAAACTGGCGTGTGTCATACAAGAGTGTCACTTAAATCTCTCTATACCGCCTCATCCATAAATTTGTTTTAATCACAAAAAAATTTGTTATTTAAAAATTAATATTCGTTTTGATCACAAATCTTCTTTGCTATAATAATTATTGCTGTTTCTATAAACAATTGTATATTATTTATTAAAGATGACAAGTGCACAGTGTATAGACATATTGAAGGTGACTGGCTGGGATGTACATCATGCAATCAAATTGGCAAAACTAGAAGCTACTTTGGAGGTTGAAGGACATTCTAAAATTGCTCATGACATATGTCTGAATGCTTTAGAATGTGCTAATTGGGATATAGTAAAGGCTGCTAGTGGGATTATAACTAACATTACAGCAACAATCAACAATAGGAGTATTTTAGTGTAAGTTATATTATATTGTGCCAAAATACTTAACTTACAAAATTAATTTAATTAGGTAATTACAATTATTATCTTTAAAATGCAATTATTTAACATAGAAATAACGACTTGCCAATTATGAGACTTCTTTTTTAAACCAATCTTGTTCACTTTTTTTAAATGTATTTTTTTAATACAAATTCTTGTTCCTAATTGACTTTGGCAATTTTGTATATTTTATTTATCATGTTTTTTTAAATTAATATATATTATATGTAAAATCAAAACAAAAAAAATATGTTTTATATTTTATAAATTTTGTACTAAATAATGGAAATATTTTTTTAACAATTATTTATTTTTTGTACAAGTATATTTATGAATTAACAATATAAAATTGTATTCCTTTATAATTTTATACTAAAATACAAAATATATTATTTATACTTCATTTGTTTAAAATTAAATTTGTTTTTTACACACAATTGAATTTTTGTAAATTACAAGTTTATAATTAAAACCATTAGTTTTACATATACATATACAATAATGTATATGTTAATTGTAAAATCAAAGTAATGAATAACCATGGGTAGTTATTTCTCATTTGGAATCTCAAATCCTCTGATAAAAGGTAGGCCAATGCCTACTTTTTTCTGATATGAGACATAATTTTCACCAAAAAAGTTTAACAAAGTCATTTCTTCATAATAGATCCTTTCTTTGAAGAACTTCCAGCTAGCTAATGCATATGCAACAATGCACACAGGGTTTATCATAATCCACTAAGTTTCATAAAATATAAATAAATTATTTTACATAAAAAACGAATTAAACTACAATTTAAAAAAAAATTACTTGAGTTCCTATACTCCAATAGAACCATCCCACATAGCTGGGATGTCTAAACCAAGAGTATACACCATTGGTGACAAGTGAATGGGTTTGTGTTTTTTCGTTTTGCACTAAATGTGTAAAATTATGTCTAGCTGTCCATATAGCAGTTTTTCGAAGTACTTCACCAAATACGCACATTACAATACCAATGTAACTGATTGAATGCCAAGTTTTTAAATCTACAAATATTTAAATCTTAAATATAGGTTAAGCTGTATACTTGGTAAATAATAGAAGTAATTGTATTCTATGCACTACGATACACAAGTACTCATAATTGGGTCCTGGCTATTAATTTAAATACCTAGGTATCCGGAAATAAAAAAATGCAAACATTTTGAAAATTTTACTATCTGTTTAATGGATTCTGAGTATTATATTACCAGATAAAATCTCTTGTAAATAATTTAACTTACCTGGCAAAAAAATATGCCATAATACATATTCTATCCAACTGGCAAAAGCGGCAATACCATATGCAACGCTGTGATTTAACATAAACGATGAAGGTGATAATGTTTTTGGATTACAAACAGCAATGCTAAGGAATTCTGAGTAATGAAAGACAGCCATAACACACACATACCTAACAACAATAATTGCATATATTAATAAAATAGACAAAGCTACAAGAATGCTTCTAATTATAAATATGAAACACATACAATTTATTTTAAATAAACTATATGTCACTCTCAAGTAAATATCTCCAATCAATGCTAGATTTTTCTATACAGAAGGTAGGTATTTAGAAAATAATGTAAAAATTATAATTAGAATAACATTGTCTTGATTTTGTATTAAGTTTTAAGTTTTGTGAAAATGACAAGAACAGTTTTATTTAAGGTACTGGATTTTTATAGATACAAGCAGAGGCAAACTGGGAACCAATTGACCCAACTTAAGCCATATCTCTTTATCTAAGCTAACTCAACTGTTAAATCGGGTTAAAAATAAATGTCATATATTGAGTTGGGTTCAATGGTGGTTAGACAATTTTTTTCAAGTAAGGACCGATTACAGAACAAATATTTATTTCAGATAGAGTAAGTGAATTGGGCTGGGTTGTATTCTACATCTGTATATTCTTGAATCAAACTTAGCGAATCCAGGACAAGTTTTTTTTAATTCTTGTTGTTCCCTGGTACATAAAAAAAATAGCCCTAATTTTAAAGTTGTCCATGAGGTCATATCTCCCTAACTTTCCTGACCAATCGGCCTCTGGTTATATGTTGTGGGACACACAAATACAAAAATCCGTCCCTGCTTCAAATGTGCTAAATATTTAAGAACTCAACATTTTTATAAATTTGGCACCTAGTGAGATTTTTCTTATGTGTATTGACATAGTATTATAGTATTTACCATCCAAATGGCTTCCATGAAGTGGGCGCAAGAACACATACTATTATACCAGCTGCCAATGTTAAGCCCAACAGAAGTGCTTGGGCACATATCTACAGTAAAAAATATTGTTTAAAATTTGTAAATAGTATAAACACATAAAAAGATATTTGAAACATGTGCAGTAGATTTTTCCCCGCCAATGATGTTTAGAGTAGGTTAGTACAAAAGGGTTGGTCATATTAGACTACCAACTTACTATTTATCCTCATGTATTTTTCTTGGTATACTGAATAAGTAAACTTTATTTTAATATATACTGAAAAGTGATTTTTTTTAAAGCTTTAAAAGCTTTTATTAGTGGTGGTAACAATGTTTGCAGGGTTTTTTAATTTTACTTCCTTTTCTACTTTTTACAGAATTACATCAAAATGTACAACACAATATTATAACTAACATTTAATATCCACTACACTTTACTCTTGATGTAAATTAATTAAAATACGTCTGGAATGTGAAAGGTTCAGAGAGTCTGATATTTATTTTAAACCTTATAAAATTGCACAACATGTAAACAAAACAATAAACTAATACAAATTACGGTACATTTACTTACATTATAAACAATACCTCTGTTGATAATCCTCACCAAAACATGGGTAAGTACTGCATATATAATAAATAAATGTAGTACATTTATCTCTATATAATATATTATTGGAAATGTATTTGGTATCAGTACAAACAAAATCGGCAGTCCCAGCAGAAAACCATAAATACTGACAATTCCAAGTTTAGCGATCATTTTTAAAATGTTTTATTTTGAAATTCAAATTGATTTATGGTAATAGCCATCTGAAAATTAACCACACAGACTGAATGTTAAAAATGAAATACTAGACAAATTTGTTTTTAATTTTACTATGACATAAAATAAACTGTTTGCTATTTTGTAATAACTATAAAACCATAATTAGTGAATTGATTAGTTTTTTTAGTTCATTCATTTACTTTTACAGTATTGTACTTTACATAAGTCAATTGTCAATACTTTATTAGGTATGCAATAGTCTGGTCACATTACTTTTTTCGAGTGATTCAATTAGGTATTTAACAACGGATATCATAATTTAATTTTACCAAGATGTAAGTTTGTTAACAATAAATAATAACTTATTAGATCATAAAATTCCTTTTATAGTTTATTATCATTCTGTAATAAGATAATAGTTATTATTCCGTAATACGAATAATACAACACTCGTATTTTTTACGAGTATGAAACTAGCAATTTGTGATAACGATTTTCCGTATGGACCGCTGTGGTTACCGACTGGTGACCTAAGAAATATCATAGCCGCGTCATATACCGTGATAAATACAATTACGGGCCGGTGCCCGGTCGTACTACGGATTTCGTCCCAGGCTACAGACCCTTCACCGCCGCGCGCACGGTCATGTCTCTTTCAAAAAAATATAACCCCCGGCGAGTGCATTTTTTAACTATACCTATAATTTATGAAATTTTCGAATCTTTTAAAATATAATATGTTTAGTTAGCGGACTCGTTCCGGAACGTCCCATCCAGCCGAAAAACTACGGCCTGGTCGCACTACAGTTTTCGCCCCTAGCCGCACTCTTGTCGCGCTGAGACTATCACATTTTTCTACAGAAAAAATTACCTTAATTTCTATAATTATTATTATCAGTTGAGATTCACATAGTTCTTGTAAGTTGTAATTTTTTTTTTTTTTATTTCCCTCGGCGGCAAAGGCTAAATAAGTTGTAATTATAAAACGTCTAAGTAAACTTTTTTCATTTTTATTAATGTAAAAATAATATTTTAACAGTATAATATTGAGGTTTGGAAAAAGAATAGCATAATATTTATTTATATTTATTGTCGTTATTATAATTATTATTATCCCAATAATAATAATTATAATATTGATTTTATCATTAATAGTCCAGTCATAGGGTAATTTGAAGTGGAAAGTTTTGGTGTAATTGATTTTAGTGGCTTACTTTATGTTCACAATTTTTCACGGCAAATATAAAAAACATAAAAAAACGCTAAAAATGTTGGTGCTTTATTTTGGTTTAAACACTTTACATATTATACTCGTATAAAGTCTAAAGACTTATAAAACTTATATTGGACTAAGTCCTATATAAGACCTTTATGAGTCCAATATAAGCTATTAGTTCTAAAAGCTCAGAAAATTGCATTGAGGATAGGTATATGGTACAGTAAAAAAAGTGCACTCTTCGCGGTTTGTATTTTTAATATTTTTCTGAACGCGACAAGAGTGTGGTTCGGGGCGAAAACTGTAATACGACTAGGCCGTAGTTTTTCGGCCGGATGGGGAGGGACGTTCCGGAAGTAGTCCGCTAACTAAACTTATATATTTGAAAAGCTTTAAAAATACTATGTAGGATAGGTATAGTTAAAAAGTGCACTCGTCGGAGGTTATATTTTTAATATTTTTTTGCACAAGACAAGACCGCGCGGTTTTTGTCTTAATCACGGTATATGACGCGGCCTCTAGCAGTAGAAATCATGGTATTTTTTAGGTCACCAGTCGGCGTTCCACACGGAAAATCGTTATCACAAATTGCTAGAATGGAATTGCTATATAGCTTCATACTCGTTAATCGTTATTATTTTTATCACTACTCTAATTTCTAAATTCTAATCTTAATACAATAATTATTCATTTACAACTACCCTTTGCGTTCTGGTATCCGTTTCTTATACTCTTATTGGATAGCTGTGGATACTAGATAAGGTGGTGGAAATGCGATCGCATACCTTTACTAACAATAATATTGTTATTGTAATATCTATATTACCCTTTTAGACTAATAGCTTCTTTTATTTGAATTCCATATTATATATTATATATAATCACAAGGAAAAGTAAATTTCCAACTTTTAGCTAAAATTATGCTCTAACTTTTTTTTTTAATCTTGGTGTTCATCATTCTTCGTTTATTTTTAAATGTTCTGTAACACGAAATGAGACATGGTTCAAGTATGAATGTTATAATGCCATATCAGTTGCACCCCTAGTCTGTATTTATTATAATTTTTTAGGGAACATGTCATACTGTTGAGACATTCCGGAGTCGTTTTTCCAGCATCAGAATGCAGCTAGATGCAGAAAATCGTTTACGATTTCATGTGCGTTGCGGTACTTTAGTGAAATTGTCACCCAACAACAGATCAGCCAAACGATTACGTGCATATGATGAATTCAATAATGGAGTTGTTATGACTAATCGAAATCTATTCGATGACGAGCTATTTGAGGTGAAGTACATTAACTTAAAGTTTAAATTATTATTGTCCAACTGTTTTATTATATTTTTAATTTAAAAAAGTAACATTATTACTAAAATTTGTATACAATCTGTGGAGTATCTCATTTTGATGTTTATTTGATGATTAACTTAATATTGTGTCATAGATTCGTATTGACAAACTTGTAGACAAATGGAGTGGTAGTGTTGAAGTAGGTGTCACTATACACGATCCAAATGCTATACCGATACCATCAACTATGACTAATATGAGAACTGGTACTTCTATGATGTCTGGCCGTGGGATATTGGCTAACGGAAAGGGTATACGAAGAGAGTATGGAAATTTCAATTTGGATGATTTAAAAGTAGAAAACATTTAGTATAATATTCTAGGTATGTATCTTAAATTATTTAAAATTATTTTAAGGTTGGTGATCGCATTGGTCTCGTCCGCAAGAAAAATGGTGATTTACACTACTATATTAATGGACTTGACCAAGGTGTTGCTGTTTCAAATTTACCTTCAAAGGTTTGGGGTGTGGTCGATATGTATGGCAGAACGGTTAAAGTTACTATTGTTGATAGAGATGTCAACGAAGAAAAAAATTTACTCACAAGACTTAGCAATTCTATAACATTATCAAATGAAAATACAAGTAAAAACATTCTATTATATTTTGTATTTTTAATATTATTAAAATATTATTAATGTATATCTTAGCAATTGATGAAGATTTATTGGAATTCCATCCCATGTGTGGTGCTCATACTCAAGTCATTAACAATAATACTGTAGCTTACCGACCAAAGTAATGAAATATGTTTTTTAATATATTTATTTAACTTATACAATTATTTAAGTATTCTTTTGCAATTATCTAGTGCACTAGATGATTTCAATAATGGTGTTGTGTTAACCAAACGCCCTCTACGACCAAACGAATTATTTGAAGTGCGTTTGGATCGTCTAGTGACTAAATGGGCTGGTTCCATTGAAATTGGTATCACAACACACCGACCGGGAGATATAGATTATCCATTAACTATGACAAATGTGCATTCTGGTACTTGGATGATGACAGGTGTAGGAATCATGCACAATGGCACCACTGTTGTCAATCAGTATGGAGTGAATTTAGATACCTTGAGAGTAGGAGACCGTGTAGGGACAATGGTGAAGTCAAATGGTTCATTACATTTTTATGTAAATGGCATTGATCAAGGCGAAGCAGCTAAAAACATTCCTCTTGGTGTGTACGGTGTTGTTGATTTATATGGTCAGGCTGCTCAAATAACTATTTGTCATGATAATAACGTGGATAAAAATTTCCCTCATAAGTATGTATTTAGTTAAAAGTTCTATCAACTAAAACATGATTAACATATTCTTTTTTTAACTTTTGAAGAAACAATGCAAGGTTTTATCCTAATCATGGGAAAAATGCACGTATAGTTCCCGGCACTCGTGGCCGTACAGCTAATCGGTTGTATTCTGAATACGAGTTTAGCCAGTCAATTGTTCTTGTGAATCAAACTTTGCAAGATGGGGAATTATTTGCTGTTAGTGTGGATAAATTGAATGATCGGTGGTCAGGCTCTATTGAAGTTGGTTAGTATTTATTGAAATGTTGAGGTTGAATAAAAATGAATAAAACATTTTTTTTCTTTACAGGCGTTACTTCTATTCCTCCAAGTGTTTTATCTACTGATTTACCAAATACAATGACGGATTTAGATCATGATACTTGGGTGTTGTCTGGATGTACAGTTATGAAGGATGGTTTAGCAATAAAATACAATTATGATTTAGATTTAGATAAAATAAAAATTGGTTCTGTAGTTGGTGTCATGAGACATAACAATGGAAGTCTGCATTACTTTTTGGATGGTATTGATCAAGGCACAGCATGTTTAAATGTACCAGCACAATTATATCCGGTAATCGATATATATGGTCGTTGTACTCAAGTAACAATTCAAAGTCCGCCTGAAATCAGATGCGATGACTGTGAATCAGACACGAGCTGTTGTACACAAGATGATGTGATATCGGTTCAGACTGAAACTGGAGTTAAAGGACAAAAGTATAAGCAGAAATATTGTACATTAAGTCAATCCTCTGACCATCCTAAGATAATCATTTTTTCTTTTTCTAACATCAGTTGTCAAAATTATTTCTTATAAGTTTAATATACAATTTTTATCTTATATTATTCTTTATTATAATGTAGTAGATAATATTATATACATTTTTTTTTTATATTTTAGAGACATAAATCTTTCTAAATATCTTTTTGGGAAAAATATAAGACTGTTAGATGATGATTGTACAACGGCAACTCGAATATCTTCTTTTGAGGGAAGTGTATTAATAGCAGACAAGAAATTACTTCCAAACGAACTGTTCCAAGTGTTAATTGTAAATTGTAATTATAACTATGCTGGAAGTCTGCGAATTGGTATTATCAGTTCTCAATTGGAACCTCCTCTGCCATCCAATATTAAGAATATACACAATAAGGATGTTTGGTATATCTCAGGTAATTGATTATTAAATAGTTTTTCCTGTTCAAAATGTATTAATTCAGTAAAAGAAAAAACACCATTTAAATTATAAGAACTAAAATTTGAAATCAATTATGGTTTTTTCTTTTTATGCAATGAATTTGTTGTGTTTTATTAACATTCACATTTCTCTACTCAGCAGGCTAGTATTTATTTTAAGTACTCAGTTATTAAGATCTTATTACTATGTTTCCTTATGTTGAACAGGTAACCAAGTATGGTATAATCAAACTTTAGTGAAAAATAATTATTGTCCAAGCTTGGATCTATTAAGAAAAGGGGACAGAGTTGGTGTAAAATTCACAGGCGATCGAACATTACATTTATTTGTGAATGGTTATGATCAAGGAATTGCTGCACATAATGTTCCCGAGGTAATTTATTAAAATCAGTACTATAAATTTCAATAAGAATTATTCTAAATTATTTGTTATTTTTAGTCTGTTTATGGCATATTTGATTTGTATGGCTGCCACACATCAGCTAAAGTTATACATATTGATCAAGAAATTAAGACTAACTTGCAAATGATGTCATCACAGTGTAGTGAAAATACATCAGATATTTCTGAATCCGTTAAAGTGTAAGCATGTTAATTACTTTTAAACTATTTAAAATGTAATTATTAAATATTTGATTTCAGAGATACTACAATTAATGTTCTGAAAAGAATGACTGTACTTGATGAAGATATGAGTGAATGTTGTTCATCAGAAATTAGTTATTTTATCGATGAAGTAAGCTTGGCTTTAAATTATATTATTTTATTATTTATTAATAATAATAATTATGCTTTAAATATAGTCGACTTATAAATTGATGAGATTTAGTGAATGGAGTGGTCGAAATGTACGCTTATCAAGAGATGGACGTACTGCTACACGAATAGATGGCTATAACCATGGTTTGACAATCACGTCTGATATTTTATTACCTAATACCATCTTTCAAGTATGTGTGTTGTTCTTTTAATATAAGTTTTCAGTACTTTTATTTTTTTTATAACAAATAGTTAATTTTTTGTTATGATTAGGTTGAAATTCAATCTTTAAATAAAAAGTGGGAATCATCTCTTATGATCGGAGTGTCTAAGATCTCTTGTACAAATAATGATGCTCCGGCTACAGCTTTATCATTGAAAGGACATGACAGCACTTGGGTGATAATGGGTGATTCTGTATATTATGATGGTCTTAAAGTGTGTATTTAATTATAAAGCTCGGAATGTTATTTTATTGTCGTCTTTTTTTCTAAGATGAAAAGTCATTATGGTCCAGATTTAAATTATTGTACGTCAGGTGATATAGTTGGAATTATGATCGACGGAGATAATTGTCTTAAATTATTTGTGAATCGCATCGATTATGGAGTAGCTGCCACTAACATACCTAATGATTGTTACGGTGTAATTGATTTATATGGTCAATGTGAACAAGTGAGTTAAAAGATTTTAGATTAAAGTTTAATATATTTATTAGCTTACGATTGTTTAAATTTTGCAGGTCTCTATAGTGAATCCTTTTATTGACATGTCACCTGTTGATCCTGTACCTAACATGCCTTTAGAATGTGATTTATTACCTGATGACGTTGGGCAACTAGTAGCATCAGAAGAAAAAGCAGATTTGGAAGGCGATGAAAAACAAAGTCCTGCGTGTGAAGAAACAGATTTAGCCGATTTAACATGGACAAAATTTGACAAGACTAATGAAAATGTTTTGGTGGCAAGTGGTCATGATGTTAGATCACGATCAGCCGAATTAACTACTTGGATCGATGAGGAAGCGAGTACTTCCACGCTTAGAATGTCAAAAATACGATCTGGTAAAACTTCTAGTTATTACAAACCAGATACAAATGAGAGAAGGCAGAATGAAATTTTAAAAACACTCCGTCTTAAGCAATGTCAATATTTCAACTTGTCTTTAAAACTTAGAACATACTTGAGTATTCCAGGTTAGTAAACTCAAATTTTCTGCATACCTGTATTTTTTTAATAGCTTTGATGCGAAACTAAAAAGGTCTAAGGTTTAATATGTTATTTTTTATTTGGTGTGTTAAGACACCATAACTTTTCCCTTTATGCGATTGGTATTTTGGGGAGTCAAAAGTTGAAACAGATCGGCCCTTCCCCAAATTGAGAAAAACATGCTAAAAATGTTAACATTTTTCATTTTAAAATTATAGCACGCTAAAACTTTTTAAAAATATTTGAATTTGTTCCAAATTTGTATGGAATATTCTATTTATATAGATCTGCCAATAGTACAGTAAACACTTAAGAATATATTATTAACCGTTTCCTATACTAGGGATAGAACCTTTTCTTCAATTTTGCTCTCTCATATATAGTTTTTAGGTCTGAAAGTAAATATAGAGAGGCACTATACATAAGGTTCTCAAAATCTGTATTTTTTTATTAAGAAAAAACAAAAGGAAAAATTACATTTTGACCCAAGTAAATTTCTAGGTAGATATGTGAGAGTGAATCAACAGTCAACAGGTATCTGAAAAAAAATTTCATTATGTTGTTGATTTGCCCGTTGGTAACAATCCTAGTGCTAATAATACAATTTTAAGCACATTATTACCTTTACAATGGTTTTTTAAATATTTAATATTTGTACAGATTTAAATCAAAACAATTTTATTTTCGAGTTACGAGTATTTCATCATTCTTAGTTATAATGATTTCTACAGTCCTGTAACTACACTGACTTCACTATACTCCGTACCCACTATGCTGGCTTTAAATAAAATTTTTTTTTTTTTAGACGAATTTTTCTTAGAGACAGGACATACATGTTATTGTGATGGATGCAATTTGTACACATGTGATGAAAACAAACTATCTATTGAGACCGGTTGGTGTAAATTTCTGTTACGTAAACATCCAAAATATAGCAATTTATCTTTGGATAAATGGCGTTCAGCATATGTAGGACGTCCATACACTATCGTTCGCAATTGTTTAGATAATGGCACATTAATGCACCAAGGTAAGTTATTTAAATACTTTTATTAATATGAAGTAATGTTTTAACTATTTTTTAAAGTTTCTGATCCAGACCATATAACACTTTATCCATACTTAAAGCGAACTGTATGCTGTCAAAACATAAAACATTTTGGGTATATTTATTTTCTATTTTACTTATTCTTATACATTTAAAAATATTTTAAATTATTTATTAGGTATCTCGATACGGAAACTAATAATCAATTCAAGTGTCACTTTGCATTTGAGTTGATGGTTGAACCAGGTTCCTTTGAGATTGGTGAACCATTGCCAAAATCCAGTAGAACCGAATGTCAACAGATCTCATCATTAGTGATTCCTAAAAATGGCACTAACACCGTACTTACTTCTTTTTATCTTAGGTTTGATAGAGATATCAAATAAATTATATAAAAATACTAATTTTTTTTTTACATAGTTCCAAGAATGTTGATCTCACTTATTTTTGTTTTTTTTTTATTTATTATTTATTGATAACGTACAAATACAAAACTCATAACATTACTTTATGCTGTCTTTTTACAATTTCATTAAAAACATTATCCTTTTTTAAACTAACATACCTAAAAATTTGTATTCCTTTAGTATAGAATGTGGTAGGTAAGGTTAATTTTCCTAGTTGTATTTGATTGACTTGTTTTAAAATATATGGTATTACTGGAGTGTTGATGTATAAATCTCCCGTCACTTTATTTACATTGCGTACAAACCCTAAGGTAGAAAATAATTGTAAATAAACAAAATAGCAAATTGTAAAATATAATTACATACCGAATCCAACACATTCACAAGGTTTTTCGCTATTAGAAACACATAAGGCAATTACGTTTGCACTTATTATGTCTAACAATTCTTCTTGAGTTAGCTCATCAATATCAGTAATATTGATAACAATACTGCATATGTTTACTCTAAAACATAAATTAGTTGAAAAGTAAAATATTAGTGCGAATTCAGTATAAATTGGAGAAAGCCAAAACTTACCTGTATGGAGTAACATCACTAAAATATACATCAGTGTTTTGTAAACACTTGCTGAAATATGATGCTGTTACTAAATACTGCTTATTTAATTTGTCACAGTCTCTGAAAAATAAATATTAACCAATAAATAATTTATAATAATTAAGCTTATCATGTTATTATTTCTTTCACTCAAATCTGCCTTATTAAGGGGCCTTCACACCTGCATATTTTTTATCAAAAACAACCCATTCTAATTTTAACTGTAATCTGAAATTCGTAATTCAACAATAGTTTTGAAAACAAATATAGATTTTAATACATGTTAGATGTATCGGCTAAAGTACATTTTTTATTTTCGTTTTTAATGTTATTGTAATTTTTTTTAAAAATTGCAATTTTTCACATAAAAATTATTAAATTATTCTTTTAGTACAAAAATTGAGCCTGTATGCCTAAAATAGTCTAAAAAAAATTAAATATTAAAATATATCCCTCTTTCCAGTGTTAATATATATTTACACATTTTTACCTTAATGTTAAGTTTTAGTTAAAAATTATCAATAAAATGCGCCTTAATAAAGACGTAGAGGCTAGTGTAAATGCCCCTTAAACCTTATTTTTGTTGTTGGAGACCAAATACAGTAGTAAGGTATGTAATAAATGTTTTTGTAACATAAAATTGCTATACTTATATTTATGCAAATCTAATACTTAAGGCCGACCTGTTCAGGGTCTAAGACCACTACAAGCTCAAAAGTACCTGGGTAGAAATTCAACTTTACCTAACAGGTATTGCCCCCTGAACCCGCTGCCCCCTCTTGTGAACAGGCCTGCTAAACCTACATACTAGCTTCACATAACATTGTGCTCTCCTTAATAACATCTACGCAATTCATTTTTAAACTAGCTTTTTCCAAGATTTCCAGCAACTATAACCTTTTTTTTTTACTTTCGTTACAATTTGGTTTCCTCACATTTCATAAAATATCCAAAGTCCATCATAAATTATACTTCTGGATTTAGTGAACTTAATTAACAATCAAATATTAATTTACTTTAAAAATGGAGCTTTAGCCAATTTGTTTTTGACTAATGAGGTGAAGTACCATAAGTTGTACGATAGCGATGCACCTATATTGTCATTAACTACATCTGAATGTAAATTTAAGTCTTGTATTTCATTGAATTTGAGTTGAACTATATCTGTTGGGCTTGTGACATAAATGAGATTGTGCAATATACGAAGCCCCTCATCTACAAAATTAAATAAATGTTTAATCATTGTAAATTATTATAAACAATTAAAACTGTTACCTTTTACGAATCCCATGGTATTAATAAAACAAGGTAGTTTGTTCAAATTAGTATCATTTGTAATATCATTAGTTAATACTTTGACAATATCCAAATATAACTTAACGTTACTCTTAACATCAGTGTTTCCAAAAAAATATGATCTATAAGTATAGTACAAAAACGTATTGATACAAATTTATTTCAAGTTTGTTTTATAAAAAAATTATATTACTTGTAAGGCTGTATCAAATGTGTGAAATTAGGGCCAAGTAGTGGTGAGTCAATAATGAAAGCAGAAATGCATTTAGGAACAAAGAACTCACTCTGACCGATGTCAAAATCGATTACTAATATTCGATTCCATTTTTGTAAGCATTTATTAATAAAATAACACATCATTGTAGATTTTCCAGCATTTTGATAACCGGCAAATAATATTTTCATTGGTTCTAAAAAAATATTTTTAATGTTTAATAACATTAAAATGTATAATTAAAAAAAAAATTTTAGTATTACTATAATAATTATAATTATATTACTAACGGTCAACGGGGCGACTCAGAAGTTCATCTCCAAAACCTTTCCATTGTTCATCAATGATAAGTCTTCGGTTTGAAATAGGTAGTTTGCTTAAATCAAATTGGCAACCTAGCTGTTCTTCAAGATCTACAATAGGTTTCGGTGGTGTTAACCTTGTACCCTTCGGTTCAAACACACTAAAACCTACAAATAATTATTATATAAACTAATTGTAAAGAAATTAGTCGTATAATATAAATTATATCATTATAAATCTTACTAGGCACATATGTATTCATGAATGTCCTCCATTTACAACTTAATTTACTATTTTCTAGTAATACTACAGCTTTTTGTTTATTTGATGATGTAATTGAAATCAAGCCGAACAAACCAGATGAATACAAGGTGGTAGATGGAGTATCAGGGGTCATTCGGTAGCCCCACACTTCAATTGAGCCTTCCATTACTGCTACATCTACTGTTCCAATTATATACAGTACTTCTTCATTATTGAATTCAACTAGTACTTTTTGGCATTTATTAGATTCATAAAAATTAGGTAAATTTTCAATTAACTGGTATATTTGCTTCATTGTTGTAAAATATGAAATGTTAAAATTTAATAAAAATAAGTATTTATTAACGAGTTTTTAATATTTATTCTTTATTAAATATCAAACTTATGATTATAAGTATTGAGTATGAAGTTAGCACTTGGCCATTAATTTTCTAGCCGTGGCCCGTGATAACAAATTATAAGAGAAATGGCATGGCTAAACCGCCAGTGTTTACCTTTGATAGCTTATCAATTTTATTCATAATATTATCAAATACAATAGATAATCTATATTATTTGATATTATGTAAAATTTTATACCTTCAAAAATGAAATAGCTATTATTAATCAAATAAGCAATTAAAAATTTGTTAAAAATATTTACTGCCAACTATATTAATCATTTTTAATTGAAGGTAATTTTTAAAACAACACAAGTTACAAAATTATCTTAAATCGTGATAATTAGAGAAATCATGATAACACAATCAAATTAATAAATTATTGTTTTAACAAGTCCTGAGTCCACCATTCAAGTGAAATTCATTGGTATAAATTTGATTGTATACACTATACAGTACAAATAGGTAATAGGGTACTTAATTCACTCGCTGTTCATCATTACTCTTGATCTTCTCATTTGGATTTGATTATTCAACTTGATTACCATCTAGAGGAGTCAAGAAAAATATCGACTAAAGATGAATTGTGTATCTATATATCTATGGTATAGTCTATACCATGACATTGTACCTATCTATTTTGTCATGGTCAACACGATAAAGATAAACTGTAATAGTATTTGTTTTTAAATTTTAATGATGGAATGTTAATGTGCTTATATTTTGTAAAGAATTTGTAATATACCTAGGTATGTATTCATTTTTATAATTATGTAATGAGTGAACATGACTAGTTTGGGAAACGAAGTTATTTCTAAAGTCAAAGTGAGTGTGATTAGTAAATAAAACATACTAATTATTTATTAGACATTTATTTACTTAATAATAATAAATTTAAATATAATAGTCAGAATAATAACCATATTACTACATTTGGAGTTTTAAGTTAACTATCTATTAATTTTGTGTGGTGTATGTGTACCTAATTCAATTAATTATAACTAAATAAGACTGACCTATTCTTCTATTATATAAATAATAGTTTATGCTTGGTTAATTTGGAAAATGGTTCCTAAAATATCTACCTTGTATAAACCAATAACCTCACAAACACAATGATTTATCTGAGTTTAGTTAAGTTAAACATGAGCCTAACTAAAATAATTTTTATCTGACTTTCTATTTTGCAGGAAGCAATACAAGCCAAACTCAATGAAATGGAAGCAAACAGTAGTAAGTTATTTATAAGTTATTACTAAACTATATAGGTATAATTAATATATGTTAAATGCACTTTAATTTTTCTTTTTTTACATTAACTGTTGTTTGCAAGTATTAAATGGTAGTTTGCATTATGGAGATTTGCAAACATTTTGCCATAGTACATGTTTGTTGATTATTAGTGCCTATTGACTTATAAAAAGGTGTATGAAATTTAAGAATGTTGTAAGAGCCATGAATTTGTTAAATAGAAATCAGGGCTAATTATTTTAGACATTTTATACCATTATAGCTATTATGTTAAAACAGGCCTATTAAATGAAAATTGTATTTTCTGATTAAATATTTCAAAAGAAAAATAATAATTTGTCACTATTACTTTTACTTATTCAAAATAAAGTTTTAACATAATTAAACTATAAAAGTCTTAGCTGTTTATTTGTATTTTTTTTATGATTTTAGGTGATGATATTATTGATTACATTATGTTACTAGTGACTATTAAGAAGTCTAGTTCAGAATTAGTTAAAGGACTAGAGTTTTTGTTGGAAGAAAACACAAGTATCTTTGTAAAATGGCTATCTACATTTATTAAAAAACTTCAAAAAGTTACTGTTTCCACAACAAAATTAAATGCTCATGGTAATATAATATAACTTATTGGTTTGAAAATATGAAAAATATGTTGGCAAGTCAGCTTACATTATATATTATATAAACGCTATGAAAAAAATAAATAATAATAAAAAATAAATAAGTAATGTTATTATTATTAAGGGGAACGGAAAGCGTTTTTGTACAAAAAGACTGAAACGCGAAGTCTCTTTCTGAAGGTTCTACTCGACCAATTTTGAAATCTTTTTTTTTTTTGTGATATAGTTTAACATATTTTCTATGGAGGCTAAATAACCGATCAAACAATTTTTTTAAACATTTAGATTTTTACTTTTTTTTAATATATCTGACTAATTTTCTAATTGCTAAATAAATAATCGGACTTTTAGACCCCATAGAAAAAATAACAAGCTTCACATAAGAAAAAGAAAAAATTTAATTCGTTCAATAGATATGGCAGAAAATGACTTCTGCCAAAGTAATTTTTTATCAAACTTTCGCCATAACTCGGAGAAAACAAACTTTAAAAGTATTATAACAAGAAAAGCTTAATATTTTTCACCTTAAAATTAGTCAGCATATTAAAAATGGCTACTAGATCAATTTTTGCCCCTTAAATAATAGTGCTTTCCATTCCCCTTAAGGGCTTTCACACTAAAAAAAATATAATTTTAAAGAAATTAGAAGAGGCTAGGGAGACGCTAAGAGAGAAGAGAGTAAAAGGATAGAGTGAGGCGAGATGAGAACCTAACAACCTAACCTTCAAATGAGATGCGGGAGACAAGTTTTACAAATTGATATATATATATATATACTTTTTAGATGATCTTCAAGTTCATAATGAAGTGAATGATTTAAAAACAAATTATGAAATATTAACTAGTGAAAGTAATAAAGATGACTTAGAAAAATCAAATGAAGAAAAAGATGAATTTTTGTTAAAGCTTAGTGCTGACGAAGCCGACATTAACAGTATAGAAAGAGACAGTAAGTTTTATATTATACCACAATATTTATTTATTTATATATTACATTACAAGCTGTGCCTAAAGAAATATATTTAAAAAAAAAAATTAAAATTTCAATTATCAACTAGGAGTAACACAAAAAACCAAAAAAGAAATAACAATAATAATAAGATAATTAATTCGAAATATGGTACAGGTACAAAAACAATTACTCAAAGAAATACTAAATAGTGACTTCAATACCAGTAACTGGGGATTAATATTGGAAATGTGGTGCATCCAGTGGGAGATATGGTTGTTTTTATAGTAATTACTATTAACCATACGAAAAAATAAAAAATAACTATAGTATAATTAAGATATGAGCAAATGGATAATTGCCCAAAAACTAAATATATATAGTGAATTAAATTACTACTTTATCAAAAAAATTAATCAGAAAAGTAGATTAAGGAGTTTAAGTAAATTATATTTTAACAGGGCTTATACATTTTAACCCCTAATCTTTTATGTGTGCCATTAATGTCAGTTTCTTCAATATATTCTAAATAATAAAATATTTAGTGCATTTTATAAAATAAAAAAATGGGTAACTATGAATGGAATAGTATTCTTGAAAATATTTAACAAATAGACATAGTGCTATAGCCAATGTATGAATTTTCACAATTTTAAAAGTTATTTAAATGTATAAATGCCACAAATTTAATAAATAATTTTTTTTATGACATATAAATTATTATTTCTACAACATTCCTATTTTAAATCAAACATCTTCAATTTTTTTTATAATTAGGTAGGCATTAGGCAAATCAGCTATTAAGCATTAAAATATCATGATGACTATTGCTATGAATGACTATATGATTAGAAATGTGTTTATATATTTATTGATATAACATAATATATATTTAAAACAAATTTTTGATTACAGCTGAACTTAAGCAAGATAAAAAATCTGATTTAATATCTGTTGAAAAATCTGATGAGTTGAACTACAAACATGAAAATACACGTGTGGAAATATCAGATATTGAGAACATTATAAAAAATAAAGAGAAGTCTGCAACCAATGTTGAAATAAAAAAACATGTACATATTTATCAACATGAGTCTAACAAAAAGCCTTCACTTACTAATACAAATCATTATCCAATTGATTGTAATCAACATAATGATAGTCAATCACAGCAAAATGTATCTGATGTTAACAATACAGTTGAAATTAAAAGAAAACGTCCTCGTATTTCACTTGACAGTGATAATGAAGATAATGGCAGTTGTAAAGCAGTAGAAAAAGTTGTTTCTAATAATACGAAACTAAAATATAAACCAAACCCTATAAAGACTGGAGAACCATGTCAAAAAGTCCATCGTCTTGCAAGTAAAGTGTCGGTAGTCAACCGGATGGAACCTAAGGTGTTAATATTTATAAGAATACCTTTTTAATAATCACACTTCAGAGTATAATCCTAGTCTACAGGATTTATTTTAAAATAACTAACATTGTTGGTAGTCAGTTTTTCGAATTATTCGAAATGGATTTATTGTGAAGTTTATTGTTATAATATTATAACATTTTGTTATAATATTCTACTCGTTTCACTGTGGTTATAAGTTATATTTTATTAAACTTCTTACTAAGACAACCGTCTGTAATTTACTTCTGGTAGCTTGAAGTTTAATTTGTAAAATATAATTTTTATTTACTGCTACAAGGAAACAATTTTTTTTTATTAACTTAAGAATATGGTTTTTTTTAAAGTTTATTCTTAGAAGTCATTAAAACATTTATTGAAATATATAACGCATAACAAAATCTAAGACTAGATTGAAAATTGGAGACAAAAAATAAATGTATTTTAGTTTTTATTAAAAATTAATAACACAAAATACAGTAAATAATTGTATCACATTTTGGTGTTATTAGGATAATGTTTTAACTAATGTAAAATTAAAATTTTTTTTATAGTTTAACAACCTAGAAATCAAAAAGAAACTATACTTGCATGATTTGGTAACACAGAAAGTGGATCATCAGCGTGGAGCCTTAGCGTTAGATACAGCATTTCAGTATATACAAGAACAAATTGGTGCTACTGACAAAGATATTGCAATTGTAAAAAAATGGCGAGATTATGCTGTAGGAATGTTACGTTCAAATGAAAAAAGTGTAATCAAATAAATAATTATTATATATGATAAAAAGAAGTAAAAAGTCCTTAACTTATAAGGTTGGATAAATTTTAATTAACAATAAAATATTGTATAACTGATGTGAAATTGTGTTTAAAAACTTCTAGATTCCATACCTACTTACAAATATAAAATATAACAGATAAGATAGGCGTTGATCATTTAAACAGTCTACTTATATAAAGCTTGATCTATGCAGAGGCATAAATTCCAGAAGTGCATATAGATTCTTAGCAAGTCACCCAGCTCAGGCCAAAAACCAAGGGTTAGCGTTCTGTAGACTGTGCTACATATTTTTCATAAATAAATGATTTTGAGTCTAAAAGTAAGGTCATTACTTATGCTATGTCCTTCTAAAGAGTTTTTTTTAGCTTTTGTTTATATCTGAATCCTCCTCGAAATTCTATTTATACCTTGTGAATAAGTTTTAATTAGTACTATATTTGACCACTTGCCTTGGCCTTTCCTACAATAAAACTAACGGTGGCAGATAAATACATCAATTCTAAGGATCATAACATAATATAGTAGTAAAATTATTTCGGTGGCTGGTAAACAATACTTGCATCCCTCAAAAAAGGTATAATGTGTCCGAATTTTTTGGACATAAATCTCGGCTTTGGCCACTTCAGATACAAAATTAATGTTATGCTATTTAAGTAAATAATTGTACCACTGAAATAGTGTCGTACTAAGCAGACAAAACACAGATTTTGTTATTGATATATAGAAAACACAATATTAAGCTTTGTATTGTATTAAATGTTAATACAAACTTAGCTTTATTAGTATTAGTATTGACACCGTATATTTTTAAATCACGGAAAAAATTTATAGTTATAAAAATGTATACAACTAACGAGTTTTTTGTGCTTAATGGTTTTAAATTGGGGTGTTCATAAAATGCTAAATAATAATATACAACATTAGAAGTGTACCAGCAAAAATTGCAAATTTTTTTAAAGCTAGATGGGGAACAAAATATAGTTGCTAATGCAACTTTGCACAGTCACAATGCGGATGGCCCTACACAATTGAGTAAGCAAAATTAAGATAACTATGTTAGGCGTAAAGCAATTGCAAATGTATATATAAAGAAGTCAAAAATGATTTGCTCTGAACTTAGTAGCGGTGGCATTAGATTTACAGCCCCAGATATTAAGTTTGTGCAATTTATATAACAATGTTTGCAGAGCTATCATTCTTTTCACTACCGCACCATTCATGGGTTGAAAGATTTTAACGTAATTTTGGTATTTATTTGGCTTCCTAATAAAGAAAAGAATACATATATTTAAATATTTAACTTATCAGTCATATGTAACTCTCATAAACTTTTCTAAGGGATGACTCCTACTTTTTTAAATTTCGGAATTAAAATTAATTAGTCTCTCTCTCTCTTTTTCCATTTAGACAGCCGCCTGTCCATAATAAAAGAGACCACCTAATTATGTAATGCAACTTAAATTACACCTACTATAACTAACTGATAAATTCAATTTGACAATAGACTATAGTCTACTGAAAAATAAACAACTCATGAGTTGATACATTTAAATATTATTATATTTATTTAAATTAAATAGTAGAAAGAACAATAATAATTAACAAATATAAATTATAATTTTTGTCAAAAAAAAAAAACAAGAGCTCATTGGGATAGAGCAATGTTAAATAAACACAAAACACATCGAGGAACAAATTACTCTACAAATTAATACCTAGTTACGTAGAAATTATGAATATTATTACTTTTGTTTTAATCATAGGTACTAAATTGTTCAACTTAATTACACATGCTAGTAGTGTTTAATGCAATATTCATATTATAATCGAATTAACATTAATAAACCCAGTAATTACAAATATTTAAACATTAACCAAAATATAACTTAATATATTTATATGAGAAAAAATAATTTACTTATGTAGTAATAATTTGGATAGACACGACGAGCCGTTGGAATACCACACAAATTTAACAATTATAATAGTAATAAAAAAAAACGATTATTTAATTATGAATTTAAAAAAATCCATTCATAAATAATTTGGTAACGACTGCAAAACAGTATCTACAATATGTATCTAACATTTGGATATTTTTGTTCTGGTTTTTTGGTAATAACATAATATTAATAATAAATTATCTATTGTAAATATTCATGTGCAGTTCCTGTTGATCATTATGTTAGCCAGAGCGTTGCGCCTCTTCCTCCAACAACCTAACGTCTGACAATGGTATTGCAACTGTCTATACCACAATTTCGTTTGTTCGGTGTCTTGGCCCTAGTAAAAATAAAATCAACAATAAATACTTATACAATTTAGTTAATTAACTAACGAAATATCTCCCAACGTTTAATCAAATCTTTTGACTGTATAATCAAAATTTTAAATAAAAATGTAATTTGTAATGTTTATTTTGAGTAGGTAAGTAATTATAAATTGGGGTGAACATATTTGTGTTCGTATTTTTACATCCAATTACTTTCGTTAAGGGGTAGTATTGTAAAATGCCCTAATCAATTGGCCACGACTGGAAAAATATTGACAGTAGTCAGTAAACAAATCGTTCGTTATTTTTTTTTTAGGTTTTGAGTTTTTCGATGACGTAGTGTCGTTCAAGCCTAACGTCAGTTCTAACCGTAACTTATTAAAAACGCCAGCGTAAGTTAAATTGCTCTAAGTATATAGCCAACAACCTAATATTATGGCATATAGCGAATATTCTTAAAGTGTGGTCTGTCATTGGCTCATTTCATTATATGCGGCATTTTCCAGGACGATTTATGGCCTGGACGCACGAAAAGATAGACTCATTAATTCAGCGTTTAACTTGGGCCACCTGAGAAAATTGAGATCAGTAAATTGGAGGGCAATTTTTCACAGCAATGTAGTCGGAACATTAAGGTAGTAAATAAAAAGTATCGAGAAAAAAAAGGGTGCCCGGCAAACTAGATTTATACCTGGTATAATCCTGGTATAATACATATCCGCCTATGATTTGCGTAAAAGTATTTTGGATATAAAGTATAATTATTGTATAGTATGTTTTGGGTGATTTGACTGCTGACATCATATGACGCTTAGTAAACCACCGTCAACGACCTAGCGGTACCGACCAGATTGTTTTTTTGTACGGAGACTGGAGAGTTAGTTACACTGACCTCCGCCTAATACATTTATAATTTAGTACGAACAATACTCACTTTCAGTATGTAAGTGTCCTTGGTGGTAATCTCGTGTAGCTCGAAGTAATCGTCCAGCTCGTTCTCGCAGCATATCACACACCGGTCCAAGTACATGGGTTCCTAAAAAACACATATTAGGTATTATTACCTTATTACATAATAAATACGGTGTTTACCGTATAATCGGCCGCGATATAATTCGACTACTCACCCGCAGAAGACTAATCCGACCGCCCTTCTCCTTAAGCAGCACCAGCGAGGCATCCCGAATGCCGTTCTGTCTGGGAAATCCAACGTCTTCAGAGTCCGGATTGTAATTGTCGTTGGGCTAAAGCAACACAAGCCGTTAACATTAAGACTTATAGGTACGCAACTATTTAGATAAACAATTGACACTTACTTTGCCTAGAGTGACTATAATGGCGTTGATAGGCATAAGCTTGATGGTTCTTCCAGCCCGACGCCAGTTGTTATCCGACGGTTGAGTATATAGCAAACGGCCTTCAACCGCAAACCTGATTTCTTCGCCGAGTCCGGACCATTCGAGCACGTCGACGGCCGCCTAAGACGGAAAGAAATATTTTAAGTAGCTCTTAAATTAATATCTTAAGTTGGGAGTGCTTGCAAAAGGAAGATCTCCAATTAGATATTTTAGATGACGTTATTTTTGCCTCTTAAGTAAATCTAGTAATCGATCTTAAGAAAAAATTTTAATTAACGTCGCTTACGACTAAGTGATTTATTAATTTTGATAACGTCATACTTGTTTGCGAAAGTCGGTCTATTAAAAGCGTCAAATGCGAAAAAGCAAAGAATGATATATGATCAAAATAAAAAAAAACAGTTAAATAAAGATTAACACCAGTCGAGGACAAACCAGCAAAATCCAAAATTAACCGACCTTGCGAAATTTGATGTCGGCCAAGTCTTCGCTGTCCGGCCGTTTACCGTTGATCGCGTAGATCTTCCTCCACAGTTTGGTAGAGCTTATGTCTTTGGCCAGCTACGCAGAAACAGGTTGTTATCGATAGATGGAAAAAAATACAACGACAATGTTGTAACATTATAGCCGTTACTTACCGAGTTGATGTGCTCCAAGTGCAGTTGGATCTTATGCCGTGCCTCGTTGAGTGTCTGCCGGGCTTCCAGATGGTGTTCGGGTGTGACCTTGCATAGTCGAGCCAATAGCAGCGGATACTTTGTTACGCGTTGAACGGGCACCTAAAAAATATTTCCCCGTTGTGTTAACACTAAAGTCTTGCCCATCACATCAGGGTTTTTATTTTCTAGCGTGTCGCTTACCATTAAAAAACTATTGAGGTTCATCCGGCGGAGCACGGCATTCTCCATTTGCGACACCCGCAAGAATATTCGCAACAGCTCTTTCTCTTTTTCCAAGTTGGCCAACAGCAGAGCCGCGTTACCCTGTGCAGACCACACGAATATATAAAAAAATATACTACTATTGACCATCCACACTATAATATTATGAAATCGGTTCCGAGTTGTTTAATAAGTCACACCTTAAACTTATATGAACAAACAAACAAAAGACTACCGGTATAGGTTTTAACTGTTTAGCCGAATTGAATATCGCATTAGTTAAGATTATAGTATGTGTAATAAACATACATGACATATATGACATAAATAATATAAATGTAACGATTTGTGTTACTTGGTAGGCAAGTACAAGTATAAAATACATTATGTTCATTTTTAAGTTCTGTTATGAAACAATTTACAATGGATCATATAAAAATATGTTTCATACATTTTAGTGTCTGCTTGCATTGTAGTGTTTTGATTATAATCGAAGTGATCCTTCTGATTTAGTATATTATTTGATACGGGTTTCTCAGTATTTCTCAGATAAAGGTGGTTGATATAATGTTCGAGTACTCACTTGTCGGGTGCAATACGATTGGAAGGCGTGCAGCATTGATGGTGACGCCTCAAGGAAAAGCCTGCCTATGTTGACGGTGAGCAAGTCGTCATCACCCTGTTCCACGGCTATCTCGTAGGCATCGCGCAATTTCTGCGACAAGGCGGCGCTGTGCTCGCGCAGTTCCGCCACGTTAAGAAAAACGGCCGAGAGCTGATCCGCGTTCAGTAGTCCAGCCACCATCATGGGCCTATAGAACTCCTCCATCACTATGTCCAAGTCCCGGCCGTACTTTTCTTCAGTCTCCACGATCTCGGCGATGATCTCCCGGCGCTCGGCTCGGCGCTTGTGACACTTACGGCACACTAGCGGCGCGAACATGATACCCCTTGACATGAAAACGGTTTAGTATTATAATTGTTACCACTATAATGTACAGATATTGTCAGAATTGTCAGCAATTTTGTTTTCTTAAACGTTGAGCAGCGACGGCCGACGACCGCGAAGCGACGTCAATAGATAACTACGGCTGTAATTAAAGAACATCACAAGAGATGGCGCATGTAACATCAGCCGTTGGAAATCGCTCGAATACTAGTTTTTAATCAAGTGTCGTATATGATGTGCGAACGAAACTGGCGCGAAAAAAGATTAGAGAAATTATGTAAATACAGTTGTGTTTTTTCTCTCCTATACTCCGGCCGGCCGTCCGTCTGAGAGAAAGTCAACGCACATTCGGTTGTCAATTACTAGCGAAAATCGGATTCAACGTGCTTTTACGCAGTCCGCCAGGGCCAATATGAAAATACCGTGAATACACAAATCGTACGGTTGCGTAACGCCAGCATGTTTATTGGTATTTGTTGGCGTGTTTAAATGTCAACCAACGGTATAGTAACGAGTTAATTATTAATTATCATAATAAAAGTAAGGGGATTACTTGAAAGATAAACGACGGTGATATGAAATATTTTTTAAGTTACGTTAAATTTAATTGATCTTGAATTACTTAAATAATAAATATAATTCCAAACAAACAAACCGTAAAAAAGTTTAGTTTTTTTTTATGAAAGTAATTTATCTGAAAAATAACGTAAGCTATATTACCAAATAAGGCTGTAGTTGAACCAAATTTTCAGAGAGGGGGAGGTTGATTTGTATTTTATTTTAAGAATATTGTTATAAATATAGTATTCAGGTCACCAAACATTTTCATAAATTGTAATAATTAGTCAAAAAAATGTAATACTATAATTTATAAATAATATATGTTTTATAGTATTACCTAATTATAATTTGAATCGTAGTCGCTAAATGTGGGGACCCCAAACGCTAATAATAGTATCATAAGTAAAATATTATTGCTCTGATAATTTCGAAAGGTTATATAAATAAAGTCTACGTTAATTAACTAAAGGGTGAATGTGGTCCTCATATTACTAGAATATTTGCTTCCATTTTGGTAAAACATTGTTAAGTATTTATATGTTTAGCAATATATTATATTAACATAATTGTTAAGGGTTGATAAATCTTAATGAAACTTTACTCTGTCCGCCGAGAGAACATGCCGCGACCCGACGAAAATTGGCCGTTCTGCGCATCCCCGCGCGACACCTAGTGTGAATAGCGTTCCCCCCGAGACTGGCTGCCAGCCTATCCTCGGTGGCTGCTTAGTCTCTAGCCTACATGTGCAAAACCGGCATTTTTTCTTGGCGGACAGGGTATAGCTAATGATGTTTTATAGTGACTCACCCGTCGGTGGTCTGAACCTCAACCGCTTGATCACAGTCCTCACAACTATGCTGCGTTTCATGTTGCTGTTGCCACTTGCTCCTGGAGCTCTGGCTGGTTTCGGATCCTACGCCGGAATCATTACGTTCGATGTCTACGGACGCTTTCTTGCTGGCCATCGCCACCAAATCTTGCTGCAGGTGTCCGTATTCTTCGCTGGACGAATCGCTGCAGTTGGCGCCGTTACCGCTATCTGATTCGGCGACAGCGGCTTCAGTGGCAGCAGCCACAGCGGCGGCTACAGCCGCAGTGTCTTGCTCGTCACCGACCACCACGAACTTAGGGTGCGGCACAGCGTCTTGCAGGGCGCAACATCGACGTTTAGCATCTACGAGGTAGTTGATAATGTCGTATTTTGTGGCACCTTCGAATATCGAACGGGATGGCAAGGCGGCCGTGTCGTGGTCGCTTCGATCCGGCGGCGGACACGACGGTAATGGCGGCGGCGTCTCCGGTATCTCTTCGTAAATGGGATCGGAATCATTGTAATGCAGACTGCTGGCTTCGGTCGACGAGTACGAAGCGTCTTCCTTGGCCGAAGCGTAGCACGACTCAGACGAATCGTCCGTGTCCGAAACTTCGGCGTGCTTATTGATGTCTGACACTCTATACGGGTCGACCAACGTACTAGTGCGACGCGCACGGGTTGGACGGCCGCACACGTGAGGCGTCACTTCAAGTCTGGCCGCCAAAACGGGATCATAGTTCAAACGGATGAATTCAGCCATGCCGTTAGTAGCCGACCCCAAAGTTACGTTGCTCTTGTAATTGTTGTACGCATTGTTGTTACCGGCAGGCAATGACGTGCCATTGGTCGGCCCTATGCTTATGGTCACTTTGTTGTCGGAAGTCGCGGCGTAAGCTGAACCGCCCTCGCCGATGATCACCGATGTTTTCAGACGTCCCGGACTCGACGTGTTCACCAGTATGGAGGTCTTCTGTTCAGCGACCAACGATTGTTGGTTATCACCGGGAGGCGACACCTGTACCACCGTTTTTGCGTTGCCACCGTCCAAGAATAACTCGGTGATTGCCGAGTCAACCGCGGCTGTAGAATTTTCGCTTGTAGACTGTAACGGTGGTAAGGGTGGAGGATCAGTCGGTCTGTCGAACGCCAACCGGCTGTCCAGTCTGGACTTGTGCCTGACATGTATTCTCATCGTATCGTTGAACACGGTCACCACGTCCGACGCGCCTGTCATCCTAGGTCCGTTGCTGGAACTCTGTCTGTCGCTCAGGCTCCGCTTGAGTTTGCGTTCTACCGCAGCTGCCAGTACAGGAGTGATACCGTCGTCTTGACAGAATTTGCCATCTTTTGTGTTGTTTTGATGAATGCCTTCAGATAGAAAAAAGTACAAGTCAATGCAAGTAATACACTGGCAAGATGTTGACAGAAAATAGTGTAAACCACTTTTACCTTTAAGGCCAAGAAAATATGATGCATATTATATTTACGTTTAGAAGAGTTGGTTTAAATTCATTATAGTGACCCAATATTGGTGTTATTGTTATTATTTGGTTTTCCATAAACGAGTCGGTATTATAAAAACTAGTTTTTATTAATATAATAAAACGAATTAATCATGTATTTGTCCCACGTAGACACGCCCCTTTGAGATATTATTGAATACAACAAATCTTAGGAAATTAACGTTTTTGTACAAATCCTAATTTGTACATCACAATATATTTACACAAATCCGGTTCGATGTATACAATCGGTTGCTTGACGATTCATAAAGGATCCCCCACGACTTCAACCGGATCTGAGAAATTCTGTCACGTTTTTTTGTTTTGTTGGTAGTTATTGTTCCTACGCGCGGAGAATGTAGTGGTGTTTGAAATTTAAGTACTTAATTATTGAAAATCGAAATTTGAAAGGAAAAACAAAAATTATATGCAACCCACCCAAAAGCTATTGATAGCAGGTGTTATTCATCTAACGTAAGTTATACACAAAGTAAAAGTTTAATACGGCAATAATCGTACTATTATTACCAAATCCTAAGTCGTTTTAGAGTACTTACGATGATTTAAGACCATTATGTCAGTAAGAAAAATGTATTTTACCATTGACGACTGCCGATTCGACTTCTTCTCGGACGTCTGTCTCGTTTGCCGATTCTTCGACAGTTGACGGTGCCTCTATGTCAAATTGAACTTGTTTTTTTGTCTTTTTCTGAGACGTGGACGAATACAAAACAGCGTCCTTCGCAGTAGGGACCGCCAACGTCTTCGTTGTTCGCACTGGACTCAGATCATCCGTCGTCAGGGACGCTGGTTTTTTCAGAATGGACTTAATTTCGGAAGAAGGAGTGATACCCGCCGTCAATGAGTGTGACCGCTTGGCCGAACCATACTGACCCCTTCCGGTCGGTTTACATCGGCGACGCGGCGGCCTGACCGGTGACTGATTTTGTAAGGTCTCGGATGTCACGGTTTTAGTTTTCACGTCCAGTCTGGGTTTGTCATCATCCAACTGTATGTTGTCCTCAGTTGATCCGTCGTCGTACCACACCGAAGACGTTGTTCCGCGCTTGTCACTGGAAGGCGATTTGCCGTCAAAGAGCCGAACCTGTATACAAAAACAATAACATTAAATGAACAATTTAATTTCGTTTTAAACAACAATTCGTTGTTAAAATAGCGTCTTATCGTAAATATATAAGTATAATGTATACCGTATGTCCTGCAATATTGACGCCTCCGTTAACGGCGGTGGGAGAACTACAAGTGCTCGATGAATGTCCTTTTTTGGCGGCCAGACCTCTTTTGGGAAACACGCTGTCCTGTAATTTGTTCATAAACTTATCTTTCAGGGACATCCTTTTTGGGGACTCGTCGTCATCACAGCTGGGTCGCAAAAGATCGTACGGGTTGACATTGCACTCCAATATCGACCGTCGACCATTCGCACCCCTACCACCACCGGTGTCGTCGTAGTCCGGTGATGGCGTCCGCGGCGAACAGCTTCTGTTCCGGTTACTATCGACGGCCATGCTTGTTGCAGGTGACGCCATCCTGTTCTTGCGGACGCGGTCGTAGGGATCTTCGGCGACCGCGGACGACGCGGGTCCGCCAATGACCAGAGCGGCCACGGCAGCCGCATCGAACTGTTCACGGCCTAAAAACGTGCTGCGCGCCTTACGGCCACTGTACCCCACCGTACCGGCGCCGCTGCGGTCATATAGCCACTCGTCAGCATACCTCATCGATTTGGACAATGCGCTGCCGGCCGACACGCTGGCATACTTGTTATGGGCTCGGTGATGCGGTCGGTGGTGATGACCAAACGGTTGCTGTTGAAAACGCTCAAGCACTACTACGGACGCGGCCATCGTGGTGTCAGCGTCCACCGGGGTCGAGGAAGGCTTAGCGAACGGGCCCACCACCACTGGCATAGACCGACGTCCTTCAACAAAGGCCAGGCATTGGGCCGGTACAGGTGTCGCGATCGGTGTCGTCGATATCGGTCGAGAGCTGTTCGTCGAGTGCTGTCGCCGGAGTCGGTTGCTGCTGTTCATCACCTTTCCGCCGGACGGTGGTTATCATCTTACGGTATCAACCTGAAACATAGTAAAAGAAAAAAGAGATAAAAATTAATTCGTTTGCACGATTGCTATATGCGGTTGAAAGGTAAAATTATTAAACAGCGTCATGCGCATTTTATATATTTAAAAATAATCCTAATCACGATATTATGGTTATAATGTGTAATTGGGCAAATGAATTCGCAAATCTTAGAGGAGATTCCGGCACGTTGCGCAATCACATGTACGCCGCGCCGTGATGATTATTAACGCGCGCGTGAAAACGCATTCATATAATCTCTTGAGTATATTTCTACGCAAAAGAAAGTGTAAATCGTGGCATTGTTCCAACCCGCTGCTGCGAAACAGTATATTGTAAACGCGTACTATTTAGGGCTGCGAAAAATTGATATAGCCTATAATAACGCTCACATGCAGAGTGCCTGACAATCATAGCTGTGGCCGAACATTAACAAGTGTCTATCGAATATTATGATGTTGCGAAAATTATTGTCAAACGCGCATAATAACATATATGGTGATCAATTTAACGTCAGGTACACTCTTTTTCTCGGAAAATTAATTATATAGTTTCTTTTTTTTTGAAAACATTTTTTTATGTAATTGTATAGTAGTAATTAAATATTTTACTTTGTTTAGTATTTTCCGGAGCTCTATCAACTTTTAAAACTTAAATGGTAACGTATATATTTAATTCACTTTTTAAATTAAGAGTTATTTGCTGAACATTTTGACTAGTCGATATCCAGTCTTCGATAATAACTTTTAAAGTTATTAAAATTAAAAATTTAGGAGTGGAGAAAAGTAGAGTTCTAAAAATATAATTTTATTGATATTAATTGTTTATGAAATATGAAGATTATTATTTTAGTAACGTAAGTTATTATTTAATAACTATAATATATAACGGTTTACTGAATCGTTGTAATCGTTCATAATAATTAACAATACCTATCTGCTCTATACATATCGAGTAGTACGCAATACATCTTGGTAGTTTTATAATTATTATTTTCAGTTATACTGCTCTATTCGTAATCGTTGTAAAAACTTGCTCCGTTTTATGTTGCCAGAGGGGTCACAGTACATGGAGAAATAACATAAATACTTATTATGTATATATATATTATTATTATTATTATTTATCGATTGTCCTAGGAGGCATATTATATTAATAATCAAACATGCGGGGATCAGGTTTAGACAATAGTCAATAAGCACAAGTATTGAACGTTTGATTGATGTAATAGTATATTATTATATACTCGGTTCAAAATAAGAAGCGACCTCAGTGGCTATCTGATAGGCACGTAAAAAACGGTTTACAGGTAGCCGCCGAGGTCGCTTCTTATTTTGAACAGAGTATAGCTATATTGTATAATTAACACGAAGAATATATATGTTCGTATATTTGGAGGTAAAATATGCGCAATCCACTTGTATACTATAGTAACTGTACTGCAATGTGTTACAAATGTGTGTATGTTAAGTATTGCAGGAGGAGTTGACTTTGCCCCGTCGCTATAACACCGGTTTTGTAATAAATAACGGTTTCAACGATAAAGCTGTAACTAGAACTATACTATACGTATACACTGTACAGTCCAGCATCCACTGTAGTGGTGCGGTATGCGCCACCATTGAAATACTTCATGCTTTTAACGTGTGATATCTGTATTTTCCTTATTGAGAATATAGTCCACGACATTCGGTTCTAACCATTTTTCTTTGCCCGAATAAAAAACTAACACAATAACTTCAAATTAATTATATTTTATAGTTTAATAGAGAGTTTATTGAATATATTATTATATACATCGATCATAAGTCTAAAAGTGATAAAAAAATGTAAATCATTCTTGAGCAAACGATAGGATAACATTCTGTAGATGAAAATTGTAGATTAAGTGGTAAAAAACAGAAAGCACGATTTTTCTCAGTTCCGAGTCGTAAGTTAAAAAGCCGGCACATAGGGTTCGGGCTAATGGTGAGGTCGAAACACACTAGGTTCGGGGAGTGCACAAGTCTTCAGGAAATATTATAACTCAAAAATAATAAAAATATTGTCAGATACCTGTTGACTGTTGTTGATTCACTCTCACACAGTAACCTATGAATTCACTACAATCAAAATGTACCTTTTTTTTTTTTTGTTTTTCCTTAATAAAAAAAAAGTTTGACTACAGATTTTTAAAAACATTATTGTAAAAGAAATACCGTCTAAATTCCACTCCGAAACTAAAATATGTATAATAAAAAAGTATTTTTAGTTGAATCAATGTCTTTAATCTAACTAAGTATCACTTAAAAAAAAAAAACATTTACCACGTTGTACGTCGAAGAAATCAATTCGGGTCACGCGGGTTGCTGTTGATTGAAACGAACTAGAAATTTAACCTTTCGAACATAATATTCCTATATTTTATACAGGTGTATACACTAATACATTATAGGCTATAGCTGATACCTACTTATTAACTACAATATAAAAGACGTTTGCCTCTTCCCAATCAACAAAGACCGATTGAGTTGTAAAGCGGAAACGTCCATGCTTACTGATCATGCTTATGGAATGGTTTATGGGTAATTATGGATGAACGTACAACGTCTTCAATTTCACGGTACTCGGATTAATTAAAACGGTAAAAACTCCGAACGCGTTTCCTCGTGATCGGTGACAAATCTACTAAGCCGCCGACAGTCATTGCGATAATACCATGTTGTTTTCACCAGGTATTACTTAATATTATAATTTTTTGTATTATTTGACGGGAGAGCACACATTTAACGGTAAAACCTAAAACAATTAGCGGAGAAGATGCCATACGAACACTCATCACAATGACCATCAGGAGAAACTATGGGAAAATGTCTGACCGTGAGAAAAACCTACGGAGGGATTTCGGAATATTTGGCCATTTTTTTTTTTTACTTCCCGCTCGCCCCTAAGGCTTTTTATCGGTACAATACCATAATAATCCGTTTAAACTCATACATGTATGGTACTTAATAAATTTAATATACATAATCTAATAGTAGGCGTGTAATTACATTGTCCTGTAATCTGCCCATGTTGTTTTTGTTGTTAGGTACCACCCGAGGCTATTAAGCATGTTATTTTGTTTAACAGTCGAAAAAAATATGAGGAAATTACGATAAACTACTTGCTACTGTAAATGTTCCCTTGTATTATGCGTATATAACCACAAACTGTGGATATGTGGAAAACAAAAAAAAATAGCAATCTACAATTACCTATATGTGTATACAATAATATTATGGTTTTACTATGAAACGTTTAATAGATATTATTTAGGTTAATTTTTTAATATAATATTATAGTAAGTGTTGGATAGAAATTATAATGCAACCAACATTATATTAAAATATGTAACCGCATAAACCATAATTTGCATTAATCAGTTTAAATAAAATCTAAAATGTTCTGAACAGTTTCGCTACTGTAAATAAATAAAAACACAAATATATTATCAAGTTCCTTAACTATCTTAAAAAAAATTATTTATACTACAATAGGGTTCTTAAATACATAGATATAAAACATATTTCGTTCTTCTAATGCCTTATAATTATTAATTATTATATCTAATGAACAACAGAGGAAAGTATTTACTGATTTTGGTGCATTATTTTGGACTATATTGTTTAAATTATCAAACAAAATAATGTATCTTACTATGCACTAAGTACATTATGATCCATCGCGAGAATATCGATAATGTGTAGTGGTAAAAATATTCAAATGTGCTTGCATTTGCTGGTTACCAATATTGCTAGTACATTAGGAACACAATTTTCAAAAAAAAGTAATTTGCGTTCTTATAACTTTAATTTCTTCAATTCGAGCACATTGTCTCCCTTGTATCGAGATTTAAGCGAATCAGTTATTTTTAAATTTGCTGCACCTAAATATCAAATTTTTAGAAAGAGCGATTGATTTTAAATGAAGGTGTACAAATAGTTGACTTTTTTGTACCTTAAAGCAATATTCTTATAGATCCCCTGTATGAGTAGCGAGCAAAGAGGAATAAAATAATTACCATAATATGTATTATTTAGTTTTATAATTTTGCTGGGAAATCAAACGGTTTGTTTTGGACCGTAAGCAAATAACTTAAATCGTTTCTTGGTTTTTTGGAATGTAGTCTGGAGTCACCCTACCGTCGCGTTCCCACGACATGGTGTGTATTCAACGACCAGCAAACTTTTTTTGATGAGAAAATTTATTTTTTCTTGGCCACTTGATATAACAAAGTAATTGACAATTACGTTGGAAAAACGTTTTTAGATAAAGCTAATGGAACTCGACTGAATTTCAGTGGTCATTTATTTATTTATTTTTGTATTTTTTGTATTCAAAATATCAATCTGTAGTTAAATCTCGATGCTATGCCGTCATAGTTAATTGTTATTGATAATTATAGTTTTTTAATGACTTAAGAGCTTTGTTTGTTTTTTTTTGCATACATCTCATATTGATGTTCCCACGACACTATTGAAAATATCAATTGTTCTACTTCTATTATTCCCGTGTACTCAGGTCCGTCTGAAATATTTAATGATTCTGCATATTATACATCAACGTTCATGGAGCAGGAAATTCACCGTTAAACGCTCCAAAACCGCCTCACGACTTACGGCATTGTTGTCCGAGATATACAGTGGCAGATTATGTTTCGGATTGTTTTTGTTTAATACATTTTTCGCTATAAACTTTAGTTACTTTACACGAAAACTATAGGTTATGCGTTTCCGTGTATCCTCTTTCTTCTCCCCAATACCAATATGTACATTGTATTATCGACTATCGTTACAAGTTTTGTGCGTGTTCCATCGCCATGAAAGCAGCAAAATCAACAATATTTGCATTAATATGCTCTACGCGGTAAAATATAATAAAAAAAAAATAATAATATGGTTTTGGGCGGCCGTAACAGTTAGAATCGTCGACACGTAAAGCGCGACCATTGTCTGTGTATTCGACAAGTATACAA